CTGCTCACGGCTCCTAGAGGATGGTTCCCCAAGGGGTGGGGTATGAATCCTGCTCACGGCTCCTAGAGGATGGTTCCCCAAGGGGTGGGGTATGAATCCTGCTCACGGCTCCTAGAGGATGGTTCCCCAGGGGTGGGGTATGAATCCTGCTCACGGCTCCTAGAGGATGGTTCCCCAAGGGTTGGGATATGAATCCTGCTCACGGCTCCTAGAGGATGGTTCCCCAGGGGTGGGGTATGAATCCTGCTCACGGCTCCTAGAGGATGGTTCCCCAAGGGTTGGGGTTTGAATCCTGCTCACGGCTCCTAGAGGATGGTTCCCCAAGGGTTGGGGTTTGAATCCTGCTCACGGCTCCTAGAGGATGGTTCCCCAAGGGAAAGGTATGAATCCTGCTCACGGCTCCTAGAGGATGGTTCCCCAAGGGAAAGGTATGAATCCTGCTCACGGCTCCTAGAGGATGGTTCCCCAAGGGTTGGGGTATGAATCCTGCTCACGGCTCCTAGAGGATGGTTCCCCAAGGGTTGGGGTTATGAATCCTGCTCACGGCTCCTAGAGGATGGTTCCCAAGGGTTGGGGTATGAATCCTGCTCACGGCTCCTAGAGGATGGTTCCCCAAGGGGTGGGGTTTGAATCCTGCTCACGGCTCCTAGAGGATGGTTCCCCAAGGGTTGGGGTATGAATCCTGCTCACGGCTCCTAGAGGATGGTTCCCCAAGGGTTGGGGTATGAATCCTGCTCACGGCTCCTAGAGGATGGTTCCCCAAGGGTTGGGGTATGAATCCTGCTCACGGCTCCTAGAGGATGGTTCCCCAAGGGTTGGGGTATGAATCCTGCTCACGGCTCCTAGAGGATGGTTCCCCAAGGGGTGGGGTATGAATCCTGCTCACGGCTCCTAGAGGATGGTTCCCCAAGGGGAAAGGTATGAATCCTGCTCTGTATAACCCTACCCTGATTCCTACACCCCACCTGACTCCCGCTCCCGGCTCCCTATACCCCACCTGACCCCCGCGGTCTGCTCTGTATAACCCTACCCTGCCTGACATGCCCACCCTGCTCCCTACACCGTCTTGTACCCACCTGGATCCATACACCCCTACTCTGCTCTGTACGCCCCACCCCCGTACCCACCTGACTCCCTACGCCCCACCCCCGTACCCACCTGACTCTCTACGCCCCACCCCCGTACCCACCTGACTCTCTACGCCCCACCCCCGTACCCACCTGACTCTCTACGCCCCACCCCCGTACCCACCTGACTCCCTACGCCCCACCCCCGTACCCACCTGACTCCGTACGCCCCTCCCCCGTACCCACCTGACTCCGTACGTTCCACCCCCGTACCCACCTGACTCCGTACGCCCCACCCCCGTACCCACCTGACTCCGTACAACCATACCCTGCTCTGTACACCCTCATCTGTACCCACCTGATTCCATACACCTCCACCCACCTGGATCTGTACACCCCACCCCCACCCACGTAACTCCATCCAGTATGGTGAACACTTGAGGCCCAGTGTCGGTTATCAGTAATCTGTATTATTTCCTCTCCCCTCCAGGTAACCCATCCATCTGCCAGTATGGCGGACACATGGGGTGTGGTGTCAGTTAGCAGTTACCTGTGTTTTTCCTCTCCCCTCCAGATCAGACATCCATCTCCCGGTATGGCGGACACATGGGGTGTGGTGTCAGTTAGCAGTTACCTGTGTTTTTTCCTCTCCCCTCCAGATCAGACATCCATCTCCCGGTATGGCGGACACATGGGGTGTGGTGTCAGTTAGCAGTTACCTGTGTTTTTTCCTCTCCCCTCCAGATCATACATCCATCTCCCGGTATGGCGGACACATGGGGTGTGGTGTCAGTTAGCAGTTACCTGTGTTTTTTCCTCTCCCCTCCAGATCATACATCCATCTCCCGGTATGGCGGACACATGGGGTGTGGTGTCAGTTAGCAGTTACCTGTGTTTTTTCCTCTCCCCTCCAGATCATACATCCATCTCCCGGTATGGCGGACACATGGGGTGTGGTGTCAGTTAGCAGTTACCTGTGTTTTTTCCTCTCCCCTCCAGATCAGACATCCATCTCCCGGTATGGCGGACACATGGGGTGTGGTGTCAGTTAGCAGTTACCTGTGTTTTTTCCTCTCCCCTCCAGATCAGACATCCATCTCCCGGTATGGCGGACACATGGGGTGTGGTGTCAGTTAGCAGTTACCTGTGTGTTTTTTCCTCTCCCCTCCAGATCATACATCCATCTCCCGGTATGGCGGACACATGGGGTGTGGTGTCAGTTAGCAGTTACCTGTGTTTTTTCCTCTCCCCTCCAGATCAGACATCCCTCTCCCGGTATGGCGGACACATGGGGTGTGGTGTCAGTTAGCAGTTACCTGTGTTTTTTCCTCTCCCCTCCAGATCATACATCCATCTCCCGGTATGGCGGACACATGGGGTGTGTGGTGTCAGTTAGCAGTTACCTGTGTTTTTTCCTCTCCCCTCCAGATCAGACATCCATCTCCCGGTATGGCGGACACATGGGGTGTGGTGTCAGTTAGCAGTTACCTGTGTTTTTTCCTCTCCCCTCCAGATCAGACATCCCTCTCCCGGTATGGCGGACACATGGGGTGTGGTGTCAGTTAGCAGTTACCTGTGTTTTTTCCTCTCCCCTCCAGATCATACATCCATCTCCCGGTATGGCGGACACATGGGGTGTGGTGTCAGTTAGCAGTTACCTGTGTTTTTTCCTCTCCCCTCCAGATCAGACATCCATCTCCCGGTATGGCGGACACATGGGGGGTGTGGTGTCAGTTAGCAGTTACCTGTGTTTTTTCCTCTCCCCTCCAGATCAGACATCCATCTCCCGGTATGGCGGACACATGGGGTGTGGTGTTGCTACTGTCCTGCTTTCTCCAAGCCGGACTTGTTTTCGGAACGCTGCGATCATTTGGGATTTTCTTCCCGGAATTTGTGGAGTATTTTGAATCCGCTGCCAGCAGTGTTTCCTGGGTGACATCATGTGCGGTGGCCGTGCAGCAACTGATGAGTAAGTGCCTGATCCCTCTGTATAACACGCAGTGCCTGATCCCTCTGTATAACACGCAGTGCCTGATCCCTCTGTATAACACGCAGTGCCTGATCCTTATGTATAACACGCAGTGCCTGATCCCTCTGTATAACACGCAGTGCCTGATCCCTCTGTATAACACGCAGTGCCTGATCCTTCTGTATAACACGCAGTGCCTAAACCCTCTGTATAACACGCAGTGCCTAAACCCTCTGTATAACACGCAGTGCCTAAACCCTCTGTATAACACGCAGTGCCTGATCCCTCTGTATAACACGCAGTGCCTGATCCCTCTGTATAACACGCAGTGCCTGATCCCTCTGTATAACACGCAGTGCCTGATCCCTCTGTATTACCTTCAGTGCCTAAACCCTCTGTATAACACGCAGTGCCTGATCCCTCTGTATTACACGCAGTGCCCGATCCCTCTGTATTACACGCGTAGTGCCTGATTCCTCTGTATTACACATGCAGTGCCTGATTCCTCTGTATTACACGCAGTGCCTGATCCCTCTGTATTACACGCGTAGTGCCTGATTCCTCTGTGTTACACGCGTAGTGCCTGATTCCTCTGTATTACACATGCAGTGCCTGATCCCTCTGTATAACACGCAGTGCCTGATCCCTCTGTATAACACGCAGTGCCTGATCCCTCTGTGTTACAGGCAGTGCCTGATCCCTCTGTGTTACAGGCAGTGCCTGATCCCTCTGTATTACACGCGTAGTGCCTGATCCCTCTGTATTACACGCGTAGTGCCTGATCCCTCTGTATTACACGCGTAGTGCCTGATTCCTCTGTATTACATGTAGTGCCTGATCCCTCTGTATTACACGCGTAGTGCCTGATCCCTCTGTATTACACATGTAGTGCCTGATCCCTCTGTATTACACATGTAGTGCCTGATTCCCCTGTATTACACACGGTGCCTGATCCCTCTGTATTACACATGTAGTGCCTGATCCCTCTGTATTACACATGTAGTGCCTGATCCCTCTGTATTACACATGTAGTGCCTGATCCCTCTGTATTACACATGTAGTGCCTGATCCCTCTGTATTACACGCGTAGTGCCTGATCCCTCTGTATTACACGCAGTGCCTGATTCCTCTGTATTACACACGGTGCATGATCCCTAATGACAAGACTTTCCTGTTCCAGGCCCCCTGGGCTGTGCTCTGGCCCTCCGGTTTGGATATCGGTGGGTCGTCTCTGTGGGCGGATTTCTCTCTTCTCTGGGGATGTTTTTGGCCTCTTTCTGCACTGACCTCTACCAGCTCTACCTCAGTATTGGAGTCGTGTCAGGTATGTGATCCCACCAGCCACCATTATGAATGGATGAGACTTGGGAGGGCGGGGCTTCTGTACATCTCACTTCCCAGAATGGGAACCCCATGTCACCCTGCAGGGGGAGGGGCAGCCTTATTGTGCATTCCTGGGTCACCCTGCAGGGGGAGGGCAGACTCGTACCTCCTTCCTGAGTCACCCTGCAGGGGGAGGGCAGACTCGTACCTCCTTCCTGAGTCACCCTGCAGGGGGAGGGCAGACCCGTACCTCCTTCCTGAGTCACCCTGCAGGGGGAGGGCAGACCCGTACCTCCTTCCTGAGTCACCCTGCAGGGGGAGGGCAGACTCGTACCTCCTTCCTGAGTCACCCTGCAGGGGGAGGGCAGACTCGTACCTCCTTCCTGAGTCACCCTGCAGGGGGGGGGGCAGTATATTGTGAGGGTGATGTTGCTCGGGGTAACTCTGTCTCTTATTCTCCGCAGGGCTTGGATGGGCGCTGATCTTCTCGCCCTCAATGGCAGCTGTGACCTCATATTTTTCAGGCCGGCGTACTCTGGCCACAGGATTTGTGCTGACGGGTTGTGGGGTGTTCTCCTTCGCCCTGACACCCCTTCTGCAGTATCTGGTGGAGACATACTCTTGGCGGGGCGCTATGCTCCTCCTGTCGGGTGTCACTCTTCATTCAGTGCCTTGTGGGGCCCTTCTGCGTCCGGCAGGGGGGGATCCTCAACATCACCAGCGCTCTTTTTTTGTGGGGGTGGGAACTTCTCTGTGATTGGCCCTTCCTACGGTATTGTCTGGCCATCACACTGATCAATGCTGCGTACTTTGTGCCGTACGTTCACCTGGTCGCCCACATGCGGGTGAAAGAAGTTGGGGAACGCCATGCGGCCATCTTAATGTCCCTAGTGGGCATTGCAGATGTTTTTGGACGTTTGATTGCTGGTTGGCTGGCGGATCTCACCCCAAAACGTATCCTGCTCCACCTCAGCTTCTGGACTGGATCGGCCGGACTGGTTCTGGGGCTCCTCCCCCTGGCATGGAATGAGGTGGGGATGGGAATGGCTGCGGTGGTGTTTGGATTTTGTGCTGGAGCCCTGACCCCCGGCGTCTTCTCATGCCTGCCATGGGTGGTGGGAACTGAGAAGGTTCTTCCTGCAATCGGACTGCTGCAGATGGTGGAGAGCGTTGGGGGACTGCTGGGACCGCCCATCTCAGGTGAGACCGCTTCTGTACATTGCTTTATGGCAGTGCTGCAAACACCAATACCAGCTCTTATTTATAGAGTGTAATACACAGTGCAGGCTCACCATATTACCTGAATCATTCCCTCCTCAGAAGGTAGAAAACCCAGCTAATAACCCAGAAAAAGGCAAAGCAGAGACTGCTGGAGAGGATCAGAGATGGAGCAGAGGCTGGTAGAGGGGATCAGAGATGGAGCAGAGGCTGGTAGAGGGGATCAGAGATGGAGCAGAGACTGGTAGAGGGGATCAGAGATAGAACAGAGACTGGTAGAAGGGATCAGAGATGGAGCAGAGACTGGTAGAGGGGAGTAGAGACTGGTAGAGGGGATCAGAGATGGAGCAGAGACTGGTAGAGGGGATCAGAGATGGAACAGAGACTGGTAGAGGGGATCAGAGATGGAGCAGAGACTGGTAGAGGGGACCAGAGACGGAGCAGAGACTGGTAGAGGGGACCAGAGACGGGGCAGAGACTGGTAGAGGGGACCAGAGACGGGGCAGAGACTGGTAGAGGGGACCAGAGACGGAACAGAGACTGGTAGAGGGGACCAGAGACGGAGCAGAGACTGGTAGAGGGGATCAGAGACGGGGCAGAGACTGGTAGAGGGGACCAGAGACGGGGCAGAGACTGGTAGAGGGGAGCAGAGACGGGGCAGAGACTGGGGCAGAGAGAGGGGAGCAGAGACGGGGCAGAGACTGGTAGAGGGGAGCAGAGACGGGGCAGAGACTGGTAGAGGGGAGCAGAGACGGGGCAGAGACTGGTAGAGGGGAGCAGAGACGGGGCAGAGACTGGTAGAGGGGAGCAGAGACGGGGCAGAGACTGGTAGAGGGGAGCAGAGACGGGGCAGAGACTGGTAGAGGGGATCAGAGACGGAGCAGAGACTGGTAGAGGGGATCAGAGACGGAACAGAGACTGGTAGAGGGGATCAGAGACGGAACAGAGACTGGTAGAGGGGATCAGAGACGGAACAGAGACTGGTAGAGGGGATCAGAGACGGGAGCAGAGACTGGTAGAGGGGATCAGAGACGGGGCAGAGACTGGTAGAGGGGACCAGAGACGGAACAGAGACTGGTAGAGGGGATCAGAGACGGAGCAGAGACTGGTAGAGGGGACCAGAGACGGAACAGAGACTGGTAGAGGGGATCAGAGACGGAGCAGAGACTGGTAGAGGGGATCAGAGACGGAACAGAGACTGGTAGAGGGGATCAGAGACGGAGCAGAGACTGGTAGAGGGGACCAGAGACGGAACAGAGACTGGTAGAGGGGATCAGAGACGGAACAGAGACTGGTAGAGGGGATCAGAGACGGGGCAGAGACTGGTAGAGGGGACCAGAGACGGGGCAGAGACTGGTAGAGGGGACCAGAGACGGGGCAGAGACTGGTAGAGGGGACCAGAGACGGGGCAGAGACTGGTAGAGGGGACCAGAGACGGGGCAGAGACTGGTAGAGGGGGGCAGAGACTGGTAGAGGGGAGCAGAGACGGGGCAGAGACTGGTAGAGGGGAGCAGAGACTGGTAGAGGGGAGCAAAGATGGAGCAGAGACTGGTAGAGGGGATCAGAGATGGAGCAGAGACTGGTGGAGGGGAGTAGAGACTGGTAGAGGAGATCAGAGATGAGGCAGAGACTGGTAGAGGGGACCAGAGATGGGGCAGAGACCGTCAGGTGGGACCGGAGACGGGGTGCAGGGTGTCGGAGAGGACCGGAGACGGGGCAGAGGGGACCGGAGACGGGGCGGAGGGTATCGGGAGGGGGACCGGAGAGTGTCGGGGGGGAGGGGGACCGGAGGCGGGACGGAGAGTGTCGGGAGGGGGGAGGGACTGGACACGGGGCGGAGAGTGTCGGGAGGGGGACCGGAGATGGGACGGAGAGTGTCGGGGGGGGGGGGACGGAGATGGGACGGAGAGTGTCGGGGGGGAGGGGGACCGGAGGCGGGACGGAGAGTGACGGAGGGGACCGGAGACGGGACGGAGAGTGTCGGGGGGGGGAGGGGGACTGGAGACGGGACGGAGAGTGTCGGGGGGGGGGGGGGGAGGGGGACCGGAGACGGGACGGAGAGTGTCGGGGGGGGGGGAGGGGGACCGGAGACGGGACGGAGAGTGTCGGGGGGGGGGAGGGGGACCGGAGACGGGACGGAGAGTGTCGGGGGGGGGGGGGGGGGGGGGGGGGGGGGGACCGGAGACGGGACGGAGAGTGTTGGGGGGGAGGGGGACCGGAGACGGGACGGAGAGTGGGGGGGGGGGGGGGGGGGGGGGGGGGGGGGGGGGGGGGGGGGGGGGGGGGGGGGGGGAGGGGGACCGGAGACGGGACGGAGAGTGTTGGGGGGGGGGGGACCGGAGACGGAGAGTGTCGGGGGGGAGGGGGACTGGAGACGGGGGGGAGAGTGTCGGAGGGGACCGGAGACGGGACGGAGAGTGTCGGGGGGGAGGGGGACCGGAGACGGGACGGAGAGTGTTGGGTGTTGGGGGGGGGGGGTGAGGGGGACCGGAGACGGGACGGAGAGTGTCGGGGGGGGGGGGAGGGGGACCGGAGACGGGACGGAGAGTGTTGGGGGGGGGGGGGGGGGACCGGAGACAGGACGGAGAGTGTCGGGGGGGAGGGGGACTGGAGACGGGGGGGGGGAGAGTGTCGGAGGGGGACCGGAGACGGGACGGAGAGTGTCGGGGGGGGAGGGGGACCGGAGACGGGACGGAGAGTGTTGGGGGGGGGGTGAGGGGGACCGGAGACGGGACGGAGAGTGTCGGGGGGGGGGGGGGGGGGGAGGGGGACCGGAGACGGGACGGGAGAGTGTCGGGGGGGGGGGGGGGGGGGGGAGGGGGACTGGAGACGGGACGGAGAGTGTCGGGGGGGAGGGGGACTGGAGACGGGACGGAGAGTGTGGGGGGGGGGGGGGGTGAGGGGGACCGGAGACGGGGGGGGGGACCGGAGACGGGACGGAGAGTGTCGGAGGGGACCGGAGATGGGGCGGAGACTGTTGGAAAGGACCATAGCGCCATGATGGGCAAATGATCGGTACACAGTTGTTTGTCATGACGCATTTATTGCAGCATAAAAATATTCCATTTTGGGGTGACATCACTCCTTTGCGATGATGTCATGGTAATTCTCCGCCTCTCCCACTCCTTTGTGATGATGTCATGGTAATTCTCCGCCTCTCTCACACTCCTCCCCGATGATGTCATGGTAATTCTCCGCCTCTCTCACTCCTCCGCGATGATGTCATGGTAATTCTCCGCCTCTCTCACTCCTCCATGATGATGTCATGGTAATTCTCCTCCTCTCTCCCATAGGGTGGCTCCGGGATTGGTCGGGGGATTTCTCGCTCTCCTTCATAATCTGTGGCCTCCTCCTACTCCTCGGAGCCATCATCATCCTCACCCTTCCCGGAGTCCTCTGCAGGACCGACCAATCAGAGACCAGAAATCAAAGCCATCAGATTCACATACCAAATGCCAAAGACCATCTGATGTCGGCCAATGGTACGAGCTGGCCAGAGCAGAGGGCAGAGCAGCCATTGGCAGTGGAATATAAGGGCGGAGCCAATCTTCCGCCACATGTAATGTCTTCATCTGTAGAGCATCTGTGCCTTAATACAGCCAACATGGAAGAACAGACTAAAGTACCACGCCTAGAAAATGACAGCTCCTCCCCCTCCACTGTGACATCATCACACACCACTGACACTGTGCTATGACGTCATCAATAAAATGGCTATTTATTAGAAAGCAGTGTCCAGTTCATTGAGCTGGGGGGAGGGGAGCTCACAGAGTGCTCAGGCGCAGATCGTAGGATCTCCGAGCCAACTTCTCCGGGGAATCCGACGCCATCAGAGAGAAATCCCGGAATATATCCGTGTACGTCTCGTCTCCTGTGTGTGAGAGAAGCCCCAATCAGGTATTGGTACACGTTACTGGTAAAGGGGGCACCCTTGCGTCTACCCCCACCTACTCTTGTATATATCCCACAGGGCAGCCCTCGACTTTCTCAGACAGTATTTTCATATGACAGTTCCCGGGTTCTGGAGGGCCGGGGCATTGAAGATGCCGATGGTAGGGGTGGCTGCATTGTATTGGGACTTTACAGAGATCTCAGCCCTGGAGGCCCCAAGAGAAGAACATTTGACTCTACTAAACACCGTCCTTCATAGAGGAGACTCTCCTGGTGATGCTACACACTTAAATCCTCCACCCCCCCATCCCTCTCCCACCACCCAATGCCCAACTGAGCTCCATACAATACCACACCAAGCACTCTACAGACCACGGTTGTCCGTGATCCGGCATACTCACCGGCCTGGCCAAGAGCGATGTCCGCCTCCCTCATCTTCACCAATCTCAGCCTACGATGGAAGACAACACATGGCAGTCAGCCTGTCCCAGCTTCCTACATCCCCATTATAGACATGTCAGCCATTTACCAACAAACCAAATGGCACCAGCAGCCATACATATGTATATGTTAGTCCTCCTGGCCCACCCACTCTTTTAGTCATGTGACCTGCACTTTTCTGGTTTGGTAGGTCCATAGACCTCTGGCCAGATTTAGTGATGAGCATGTTATCTACATATTCTGTGATGTCCAGCCCCTGCAGAGCATTTACTTTTGATACCCCGCAGAGCAATTACACATGATATCCCACCCCCGCAGAGCAATTACACATATCCCACCCCCCGCAGAGCATATACATGATATCCCAACCCCGCAGAGCAATTACACATGATATCCCACCCCCCGCAGAGCATATACATGATATCCCACCCCCCGCAGAGCATATACATGATATCCCACCCCCCGCAGAGCAATTACACATGATATCCCACCCCCCGCAGAGCAATTACACATGATATCCCACCCCCCGTAGAGCAATTACACATGATATCCCACCCCCCGTAGAGCAATTACACATGATATCCCACCCCCCGTAGAGCAATTACACATGATATCCCACCCCCCGTAGAGCAATTACACATGATATCCCACCCCCCCGCAGAGCATATACATGATATCCCACCCCCCGCAGAGCATATACATGATATCCCACCCCCCGCAGAGCATATACATGATATCCCACCCCCCGCAGAGCAATTACACATGATATCCCACCCCCCGCAGAGCATATACATGATATCCCACCCCCCGCAGAGCATATACATGATATCCCACCCCCCCGCAGAGCAATTACACATGATATCCCACCCCCCGCAGAGCATATACATGATATCCCACCCCCCGCAGAGCATATACATGATATCCCACCCCCCGCAGAGCAATTACACATGATATCCCACCCCCCGCAGAGCATATACATGCTATGACTATCAGCAGGGACCCACCTCACTGGCAGGAATTGACATGTGGAACATTTCTTCTGACACCTGTAATGTCCACCTGACATTTAGAAATATGGTGGCCCAAGGTGGTAAACAAGACAACAGGATGTTATTTATATGATGGTAGACCAGGGTCCGTACATTATTGTGGGGGATGAATATTATGAAGGTAGACCAGGGTCAGCATAATATTGTGAGATGAATATTATGATGGTAGACCTGACCAGGGTCAGCATGTTATTGTGAGATGAATATGACCGTAGACCAGGGTCCGTACATTGTAGGATGAATATTATGATGGTAGACCAGGGTTCGTACATTAGTGTGGGATGACTATTATGAAGGTAGACCAGACCAGGGTCCATACATTATTGTGAGATGAACAATATGACGGTAGACCAGGGTCCGTACATTGTGGGATGACTATTATGAAGGTAGACCAGACCAGGGTCAGCATATTCTTGTGAGATGAATATGACCGTAGACCAGGGTCCGTACATTGTAGGATGAATATTATGATGGTAGACCAGGGTTCGTACATTAGTGTGGGATGACTATTATGAAGGTAGACCAGACCAGGGTCAGCATATTCTTGTGAGATGAATATGACCGTAGACCAGGGTCCGTACATTGTAGGATGAATATTATGATGGTAGACCAGACCAGGGTCCATACATTGTGGGATGAATATTATGATGGTAGACCAGGGTCCGTAGATTATTGTGGGATGAATATGAAGATAGACCAGACCAGGGTCAGCATGTTATTGTGAGATGAATATGACTGTACACCAGGGTCCATACATTGTAGGATGAATATTATGATGGTAGACCAGGGTCCGTACATTATTGTGGGATGAATATTATGAAGGTAGACCAGACCAGGGTCCATACATTATTGTGAGATGAACAATATGACGGTAGACCAGGGTCCGTACATTGTGGGATGAATATTATGATGGTAGACCAGACCAGGGTCAGCATATTCTTGTGAGATGAATATGACCGTAGACCAGGGTCCGTAGATTATTGTGGGATGAATATGAAGATAGACCAGACCAGGGTCAGCATATTCTTGTGAGAGGAATATGACCGTAGACCAGGGTCCGTACATTGTGGGATGAATATTATGAAGATAGACCAGACCAGGGTCAGCATATTCTTGTGAGATGAATATGACCGTAGACCAGGGTCCGTACATTGTGGGATGAATATTATGAAGGTAGATCAGACCAGGGTCAGCATGTTATTGTGAGAGGAATATGACCGTAGACCAGGGTCCGTAGATTATTGTGGGATGAATATGAAGATAGACCAGACCAGGGTCAGCATATTATTGTGAGAGGAATATGACCATAGACCAGGGTCCGTACATTGTGGGATGAATATTATGAAGGTAGATCAGACCAGGGTCAGCATATTATTGTGAGAGGAATATGACCGTAGACCAGGGTCGTACTTTAGACTCCGTCTAAAATTATTTTTGAGTTAACATTTGTTATTATACGTTGGCTGCAGACTTACGGCGACCTTTGTCCCAAAACACTACAAAGAATTTTGTAAACCAGTAACAAGACAGAATGTGAACAGACGCAAATTCTTGTTACATCGGGTCAAAGTGAACCATGAAACCTCACCCTGGTTGGAAGGCAGATTACCTAACACCAAGAGAAATGATGACAAAGCCTTCCTGACTAGTAAATCATTATATGGTAGTCTATAAGGTGACAGGAAAACATCTAAGGTTTACTACAGCAGAGGCAATGATAGAAGATTGGGGCCCTCAGAAAACCAATCTCCGGAGGTCTCCAAAAACTGAATACAACAAATAACAGAACAAAATGATGCTGATGGGTTGATGAGTTCTAGGTGAAGGAGTCTGGACTCTCCTGTTCTCTTTTCGCTTACAGTAACATCTTGACTTCTTGTGATCCTCCTATCACCCCTCCATGACCTTTCCTCTTACAATCCTTGACCCTGTTTGTGGCATTCCATGAATCAAATCTACTAATACCCACACCCATTGGTTAGGGCGACCTTCTGACTACACCTATTATTACAGCTGTGTATGGTGGCTGGCTGCACTCTAGGTCTGGCTGGTGTTCTCAGCCACATTTTTGGCTAGTAACATTTGGCATTCCCATCCATAGTTTCCTAGAATCCCACCGTCCCCTCTACTCACAGTGTTACAATGTCAGCATTGGCTTTTTCTATTGCGATGGAGAGGACGTCTTTCCGTTCATTATCCAAGGCGTTAATGTCAGCCCCTCTCTTCAGAAAACAAACAAGCCAACCTGGAGGACAGAACAGAGAAAGAAGAGACACCATGAGAGGAGACAGATGACACCAGAGGAGGTGGAAGGTAGACAACGATACAGTCAGGTCCATAAATATTGGGACATCGACACAATTCTAACATTTTTGGCTCTATACACCACCACGATGGATTTGAAATGAAACAAACAAGATGTGCTTTAACTGCAGAGTGTCAGCTTTAATTTGAGGGTATTTACATCCAAATCAGGTGAACGGTGTAGGAATTACAACAGTTTGCATATGTGCCTCCCACTTATTAAGGAACCAAAAGTAATGGGACAGAATAATAATCATAAATCAAACTTTCACTTTTTAATACTTGGTTGCAAATCCTTTGCAGTCAATGACAGCCTGAAGTCTGGAACGCATAGACATCCCCGGACGCTGGGTGTCATCCCTGGTGATGCTCTGCCAGGCCTCTACTGCAACTGTCTTCAGTTCCTGCTTGTTCTTGGGGCATTTTCCCTTCAGTTTTGTCTTCAGCAAGTGAAATGCTCAATCGGATTCAGGTCAGGTGATTGGCCATTGCAGAACATTCCACTTCTTTCCCTTAAAAAACTCTTTGGTTGCTTTTGCAGTCTGCTTTGGGTCATTGTCCATCTGCACTGTGAAGCGTCCAATGAGTTCTGAAGCATTTGGCTGAATATGAGCAGATAATATTGCCCGAAAAACACTTCACAATTCATCCGGCTGCTTCTGTCAGCAGTCACATCATCAATAAATACAAGAGAAGCAGTTCCATTGGCAGCCATACATGCCCACACCATGACACTACCACCACCATGATCACTGATGAGGTGGTATGCTGAGGACCATGAGCAGTTCCTTCTCCATACTCTTCTCTTCCCATCACTCTGGTACAAGTTGATCTTGGTCTCATCTGTCCATAGGATGTTGTTCCAGAACTGTGAAGGCTTTTTTTAGATGTCGTTTGGCAAACTCTAATCTGGCCTTCCTGTTTTTGAGGCTCACCAATGGTTTCCATCTTGTGGTGAACCCTCTGTATTCACTCTGGTGAAGTCTTCTCTTGATTGGTGACTTTGACACACATACACCTACCTCCTGGAGAGTGTTCTTGATCTGGCCAACTGTTGTGAAGGGGGTTTTCTTCACCAGGGAAAGAATTCTTCGCTCATCCACCACAGTTGTTTTCCGTGGTCTTCCGGGTCTTTCGGTGTTGCTGAGCTCACCGGTGCATTCCTTCTTTTTAAGAATGTTCCAAACAGTTGTTTTGGCCACGCCTAATGTTTTTGCTATCTCTCTGATGGGTTTGTTTTGTTTTTTCAGCCTAATGATGGCTTGCTTCACTGATAGTGACAGCTCTTTGGATCTCATCTTGAGAGTTGACAACAACAGATTCCAAATGCAAATAGCACACTTGAAATGAACTCTGGACCTTTTATCTGCTCATTGTAATTGGGATAATGAGGAAATAACACACACCTGGCCATGGAACAGCTGAGAAGCCAATTGTCCCATTACTTTTGGTCCCTTAATAAGTGGGAGGCACATATGCAAACTGTTGTAATTCCTACACCGTTCACCTGATTTGGATGTAAACACCCTCAAATTAAAGCTGACAGTCTGCAGTTAAAGCACATCTTGTTCGTTTCATTTCAAATCCATCGTGGTGGTGTATAGAGCCAAAAATGTTAGAATTGTGTCGATGTCCCAATATTTATGGACCTGACTGTATATGACTGAGTGCCAGGGATGGAGACAAGAGATAGAACATGTCAGTGGAAGGGACAACATTAGAGGACACATGAGTACCTTCAATAGAAGAGACAAGGCATGATCCACAATGAAAGATGTGATGGAACATGTCAGTGGAAAGATCAATCTCAGATGAAAGATGACAACCACCAATGGAAGATACAGTGCAGGACAAACAATAATAAATGAGATGGGACATGGTGAAAAGGACAATGTTACATGATGGATGAGACTCATCAACTGAATAGACGAGGAACGACACACAAAGAAAGATGAGATGGGAGATGTCAGTGAGAAAGACGTTAGATAACAGAACCATCAATGGAAGAGATGAGGCATCACACACAATGAAAGATGAGATGGGACATGTTTGTGAAAGAACAATGAGGGATGAGAACCATCAATGGAAGAAACGATGGATAATATACAATGAAAGATGAGATAGGACATGTCAGTGAAAAAGACAATATTAGATAACAGATAAGACCATCAGTGGAAGAGATGAGGCATCACCCACAATGAAAGATGAGATGAGGTATGACAAATAATGAAAGGACAACACCAGCAGCCCCCATGTGAAGAGACGTGTCACCATCAGTTCCAGGGAAAGTACTTTACCCCGTGTAGCCCTGCAGCGTGGCGTGATGGAGGGGTCCTCGACCATCTTTATCAGCTTGATTGACACTTGCCCCATTCTGCAGAAGAAACTCACAGGCAACAAGAGAATCCTGAAGACCACAAAGTTTTGTTGTCAGTGGAGGTTGACATGATACAGAATACAGACAATACAGCAGATAAGTGACTGAAAACACCTACAGAGAGCACAGCTTGGATTAGTGGTGTCCGTCCATCCTTGTCACTGCGTACCCAGTTCACATCCGCACCATGCGCCAGGGCGTCTGCCATGGTGGGAAGATATCGGTGTTCAGCGGCACGGTACAGAAGTGCCCCAGGGTGTAGGTTTTGCACGTCACTCCCATCACCTGTTCCAGACATGGCAGCTGTGTAGAGACATGATGGACAGATAAGAGGGGCTCATGGCACAGAATTCAGCTCTACTCATAGTGGGGATATTTCATGGGCTATAGAAACACTATGTCTATATAGGACTCTTTGTGCAGGAACTTACCACTGGGTGGGGGAGGAGCTGTCCCTGGCTTTGGTTTCAGGTGAGGTTTAAGGGGCCTGTGTAGTCGGCTGATTGGTCGGTTAAGCTCAGGCTCCACCTCTCTGTTGGCCTTTTTGGGACTACCATCCATCCGGCTGCTCTCTTTCTCCATACTGATGGGTGGCCACTTTCTGGACATAGTAGAGGGTCTGACCTCCAGGGTCCTGCTCTCTGGGTTGCTGATTGGACGGGCAGGCAGGTTGCCTTGATGCGGGTTGCTGCGCAGAGCCATCTGGGGAAGTTTGGTGATAAACTTCTTCTCCACATATTTTGCTCTGATCCAGATTTCCTTCTCGCTGCTGGAATCAAAAGTTTAGAACTCATTAAGTTGAGTGGTTTGCCTTCTTCAGAAAAGTGACCCAGCTATTCCTGCCTTTGTGGAGGCTCATAGATGGTCTATGGACAGAAGGACTACCGTGGATTCATACCATGGCTCAATGACATTAAGCAGAACCCCAAAGAACAAGAGTACACAAAGAGCCTGCATGCTGAGAACGGTACGCAATAGGTGCAATCCCAATGCAGAGGAAAGGAAATGTACAGCCATTGGTCCCTGTAATATGACATTTGTGGCAAAAATATTAGAACCTTATAAGGGTCACGTTGTTGAAAGAAAATACCATCTACAGCTATTTAAAAACTCAAAACAGACGAAAGAAAGTGGAACCCGTGTAGAAAGGCTGGATGTGAGCAATAAGCAGCCCGCTCAGCGTAAGCAGAATATCATGGAACCCATATGAGGTCATGGAGGTGAAGGCTACAGATGACATGAGGTCATAAGTGGAAGGTTATATGATGTCATTAATGAAGGATCCCACAACTATCCCAATGGAAGGGTAAGCCTATCATGTCACAGGTGAAAGCTGAGAATGATACACAGGATTGGTGAAGAGCAGGGTATTGACATCACCGTGTGCTGGAAGATGTTGGTTTCTTTATGTTCATCTCATCAATGCGAGCCTCGTAGATGGCATTGATAATGTGGTTCCCAAGTTCACACATCAGCTGTAATGAATGATAAAAGAGTATTAAATATTCCCAGATAATAAAACATCAGATTTACATACATGGACCAGAACATTAGTCTACATGGTCCAGTCTTGTCAGGACATACCAGCAGAACACTTCATACATTCAACTCAACGTGACCAACAACACAGAGAAGCAACAATTCCAACACCCCGCCATAACACTGTATCACTCAGCCAACCAATCTCTGTAATATGAAATATCGTTCGGTATCACCCCAGACCGAAACCAAACATTTCCCACCAGAAACTGGATATCATTGTGGATGTTCACTTCAGATAATGCCCCAAACTAGACATCTGGCCAGAACCAAGACATTTCCCACCAGAAACTGGGTATCATTGTGGATGTTCACTTCAGATAATGCCCCAAACTAGACATCTGGCCAGAACCAAGACATTTCCCACCAGAAACTGGGTACCATTGTGGATGTTTACTTCAGAAAATACCCCAAACTAGACATCTGGCCAGAACCAGACATTTCCCACCAGAAACTGGGTACCATTGTGGATGTTCACTTCAGAAAATACCCCAAACTAGACATCAGGCCAGAACCAGACATTTCCCACCAGAAACTGGGTACCATTGTGGATGTTCACTTCAGATAATGCCCCAAACTAGACATCAGACCAGAACCAGACATTTCCCACCAGAAACTGAATATCATTATGCATGTTCACTTCAGAAAATACCCCAAACTAGACATCTGGCCAGAACCAAACATTTCCCACCAGAAACTGGGTACCATTGTGGATGTTCACTTCAGATAATGCCCCAAACTAGACATCTGGCCAGAACCAAGACATTTCCCACCAGAAACTGGGTACCATTGTGGATGTTCACTTTCAGATAATGCCCCAAACTAGACATCAGGCCAGAACCAGACATTTCCCACCAGAAACTGAATATCATTATGGATGTTCACTTCAGAAAATACCCCAAACTAGACATCTGGCCAGAACCAAACATTTCCCACCAGAAACTGGGTACCATTGTGGATGTTCACTTCAGATAATGCCCCAAACTAGACATCTGGCCAGAACCAAGACATTTCCCACCAGAAACTGGGTATCATTGTGGATGTTCACTTCAGATAAAGCCCCAAACTAGACATCTGGCCAGAACCAAGACATTTCCCACCAGAAACTGGGTACCATTGTGGATGTTCACTTCAGAAAATACCCCAAACTAGACATCAGGCCAGAACCAGACATTTCCCACCAGAAACTGGGTACCATTGTGGATGTTCACTTCAGATAATGCCCCAAACTAGACATCAGGCCAGAACCAGACATTTCCCACCAGAAACTGGACATAATTGTAGATGTTCACTTCATATAATGCCCCAAACTAGACATCATGACAGAACCAGACATTTCCCACCAGAAACTGAAGACCATTGTGGATGTTCACTTCATAAGATACCCCAAACTAGACATCAGGCCAGAACCAGACATTTCCCACCAGAAACTGAAGACCATTGTGGATGTTCACTTCATATAATGCCCCAAACTAGACATCATGACAGAACCAAGCATTTCCCACCAGAAACTGGAGACCATTGTGGATGTTCACTTCATAAGATACCCCAAACTAGACATCAGGCCAGAACCAGACATTTCCCACCAGAAACTGAAGACCATTGTGGATGTTCACTTCATAAGATACCCCAAACTAGACATCAGGCCAGAACCAAACATTTCCCACCAGAAACTGGATATTATCTCCAATCCCAACTTTGCCCACTTCACCCAACAATGCCCCAAAACCATCACCTTTACAAGCTCTGGCTCCCAGGTGTCAAGTGTTAATGACCGGACCTTGGAGAAATGGACGCCTAGGCTCCTGTGAGAGAGAAGAGGATATTGGGTAGGGGCATCAGGAGATATGAAGACTATTAGGGTTCATCCTTACCTCTGACCAAGATTAATCATGATTCCAGAGGACCTTCTACTGAGCAGGGTCAATGTAATGGTCCCCCCCCCATTATAAATAATATAATGTCCATTGTCTGGACCAATACTGAAGATAGCTCGTCATAAAGAGGAGGTTGGGTCATCCCAGTGTCCTTAACTGTTTGGGTCATCTAGTTGTCAGGAGACAATTGAGTCATCCGAATGTCAGTGATTATTTAGGTCATCCATTTGTCAGTAAATAATCTAGTTGTCAGTAAGCAATCAGGGCACCTCAGTGTCAGTAAGAGGTTGGGTGATCCCAGTGTCAGTAATTGTTTGGGTCATTTTATCAGTAAGCAGTTGGGCCATCCCAAAGTAAAATAGAGCTCAGGTTATATTGATGCCAGTAAGCAGTTCAGAAAATCCATTGTCAGTAAGTGATGGCTTATCTCAGTGTCAGTAAGAGGTTGAGTGATCCCAGTGTCAGTAAGTGATGGGGTTATCTCAGTATCAGCAAGAGGTTTGGGTCATCCTATTGTCAGTAAGTGATGGGGTTATCATAGTGTCAGTTAGAGGTTGGGTCATCCCAGTGTCCGTAATTGTTCCGGTCATCTTGTCAGTAAATGGTTGGGCCATCCCTCAGTAAAATAGAGCTCAGGTCAGATTGGTGCCAGTAAGCAGTTCGGGCAACCCAGTGTCAGTAAGTGATGGGGTTATCATAGTGTCAGTTAGAGGTTGGGTCATCCCATTGTCAGTAAGTGATGGGGTTATCATAGTGTCAGTTAGAGGTTGGGTCATCCCATTGTCAGTAAGTGATGGGGTTATCATAGTGTTAGAGGTTGGGTCATCCCATTGTCAGTAAGTGATGGGGTTATCATAGTGTTAGAGGTTGGGTCATCCCATTGTCAGTAAGTGATGGGGTTATCATAGTGTTAAAGGTTGGGTCATCCCATTGTCAGCAAGTGATGGGGTTATCATAGTGTTAGAGGTTGGGTCATCCCATTGTCAGTAAGTGATGGGGTTATCATAGTGTTAGAGGTTGGGTCATCCCATTGTCAGTAAGTGATGGGGTTATCATAGTGTTAGAGGTTGGGTCATCCCATTGTCAGTAAGTGATGGGGTTATCATAGTGTTAGAGGTTGGGTCATCCCATTGTCAGCAAGTGATGGGGTTATCATAGTGTTAGAGGTTGGGTCATCCCATTGTCAGTAATTGTTCCTGTCATCTCAGTGTCAATATATGGTTATTCCAGTGATAGTAATTAATCAGATCATCTTATGGTCAGTAAGCCGCTGGATCATCCCCCATGTAAAAAAAAGAGGTCATGTCATCCTGGTGTCAGTAAACAGCTGGCTCAACCCACTGTCAGTAAGTCATCTAGTCATCCTGGTGTCAGTAAGCAGTTGGGTTACCCTGGTGTAAAAGTTTGGGTAATCCTGGTGTCAGTAAGTGGTTGGGCCATCTCAGTGTCAGTAAGAGGTTGGGTCATCCCAGTGATAGTGATTATTCAGGTCATCTAGTTGTCAGTAAGCAGTTGGATCATCTCAGTGTAAGAAGACAGTCAGGTCATCCTGGTGTCGGTAAGCAGTTGAGTCAACGCATTGTTAGTAGTTGGTCAGGAATCCCATTGTCAGTAAGTGGTCTGGTCATCCTGGTGTAAGTAAGCAGTTGAGTCAACCCATTGTTAGATGGTCAGGAATCCCATTGTCAGTAAGTGGTCTGGTCATCCTGGTGTAAGTAAGCAGTTGGGCTATACTGATCTAAGAAAGATGTTGGGTCATCCTATTGTCAGTAAGTGGTTGGGTAATTCCGGTGTCAGTAAGTAGTCTCGTCATCCTGGTGTCAGTAGGCAATTGGCTCATACTGATGTCAGTAACCAGTAGGGTCATCCCCATGTCAGCAAGTGGTTGGGTCAGCTAGGTGTCAGTAAGAGGTCAGATTGTCAGTGTCAGTAACCAGTTGAGACATTTGGGTGTCAGTAGGTCAGATTATCACAGTGTCAGTAAGTAGTTGACATTCAGGTGTCAGTAAGAGGTCAGATTATCACAGTATCAGTAAGTAGTTGAGACATTTGGGTGTCAGAGGTCAGAATATTGCAGTGTCAGTAAGTAGTTAGGTTACCCAGGTGCCAGTAAGAGGTCAGATTATCACAGTGTCAGTAAGTAGTTAGGTTACCCAGGTGTCAGTAAGAGGTCAGATTATTGCAGTGTCAGTAAGTAGTTAGGTTACCCAGGTGTCAGTAAGAGGTCAGATTATTGCAGTGTCAGTAAGTAGTTAGGTCTCCCAGGTGTCAGTAAGAGGTCAGATTATCGCAGTGTCAGTAAGTAGTTAGGTTACCCAGGTGTCAGTAAGAGGTCAGATTATTGCAGTGTCAGTAAGTAGTTAGGTCTCCCAGGTGTCAGTAAGAGGTCAGATTATCACAGTGTCAGTAGTTAGGTCTCCCAGGTGTCAGTAAGAGGTCAGATTATCGCAGTGTCAGTAGTTAGGTCTCCCAGGTGTCAGTAAGAGGTCAGATTATCACAGTGTCAGTAAGTAGTTAGGTCTCCCAGGTGTCAGTAAGAGGTCAGATTATCGCAGTGTCAGTAGTTAGGTCTCCCAGGTGTCAGTAAGAGGTCAGATTATCGCAGTGTCAGTAAGTAGTTAGGTCACCCAGGTGTCAGAGGTCAGATTATCGCAGTGTCAGTAGTTAGGTCTCCCAGGTGTCAGTAAGAGGTCAGATTATCACAGTGTCAGTAAGTAGTTAGGTCTCCCAGGTGTCAGTAAGAGGTCAGATTATCGCAGTGTCAGTAGTTAGGTCTCCCAGGTGTCAGTAAGAGGTCAGATTATCGCAGTGTCATTAAGTAGTTAGGTCACCCAGGTGTCAGTAAGAGGTCAGATTATCGCAGTGTCAGTAGTTAGGTCTCCCAGGTGTCAGTAAGAGGTCAGATTATCGCAGTGTCAGTAGGTAGGTCACCCAGGTGTCAGTAAGAGGTCAGATTATCACAGTGTCAGTAAGTAGTTAGGTCTCCCAGGTGTCAGTAAGAGGTCAGATTATCACAGTGTCAGTAAGTAGTTAGGTCTCCCGGGTGTCAGTAAGAGGTCAGATTATCATAGTGTCAGTAGTTAGGTCACCCAGGTGTCAATAAGAGGTCAGATTATCACAGTGTCAGTAAGTAGTTAGGTCTCCCAGGTGTCAGTAAGAGGTCAGATTATCGCAGTGTCAGTAGTTAGGTCTCCCAGGTGTCAGTAAGAGGTCAGATTATCGCAGTGTCAGTAGGTAGGTCACCCAGGAGTCAGTAAGAGGTCAGATTATCGCAGTGTCAGTAAGTAGTTAGGTCTCCCAGGTGTCAGTAAGAGGTCAGATTATCGCAGTGTCCGTAAGTAGTTAGGTCTCACAGGTGTCAGTAAGAGGTCAGATTATCGCAGTGTCAGTAAGAGGTCAGATTATCGCAGTGTCAGTAAGTAGGTCTCCCAGGTGTCAGTAAGAGGTCAGATTATCGCAGTGTCAGTAAGCAGTTAGGTCTCGCAGGTGTCAGTAAGAGGTCAGATTATATCGCAGTGTCAGTAGTTAGGTTACCCAGGTGTCAGTAAGAGGTCAGATTATCGCAGTGTCAGTAAGTAGTTAGGTCACCCAGGTGTCAGTAAGAGGTCAGATTATCGCAGTGTCAGTAGGTAGGTCACCCAGGAGTCAGTAAGAGGTCAGATTATCGCAGTGTCAGTAAGTAGTTAGGTCTCCCAGGTGTCAGTAAGAGGTCAGATTATCGCAGTGTCAGTAAGTAGTTAGGTCACCCAGGTGTCAGTAAGAGGTCAGATTATTGCAGTGTCAGTAAGTAGTTAGGTCTCCCAGGTGTCAGTAAGAGGTCAGATTATTGCAGTGTCAGTAAGTAGTTAGGTCTCCCAGGTGTCAGTAAGAGGTCAGATTATCGCAGTGTCAGTAAGTAGTTAGGTCTCCCAGGTGTCAGTAAGAGGTCATATTATCGCAGTGTCAGTAAGTAGTTAGGTCACCCAGGTGTCAGTAAGAGGTCAGATTATCGCAGTGTCAGTAAGTAGTTAGGTCACCCAGGTGTCAGTAAGAGGTCAGATTATCGCAGTGTCAGTAAGTAGTTAGGTCACCCAGATGTCAGTAAGAGGTCAGATTATCGCAGTGTCAGTAGTTAGGTCTCCCAGGTGTCAGTAAGAGGTCAGATTATCATAGTGTCAGTAGTTAGGTCACTCAGGTGTCAGTAAGAGGTCAGATTATCGCAGTGTCAGTAAGAGGTCAGATTATCGCAGTGTCAGTAAGTAGTTAGGTCTCCCAGGTGTCAGTAAAAGGTCAGATTATCGCAGTGTCAGTAGTTAGGTCTCCCAGGTGTCAGTAAGAGGTCAGATTATCACAGTGTCAGTAAGTAGTTAGGTCTCCCAGGTGTCAGTAAAAGGTCAGATTATCGCAGTGTCAGTAGTTAGGTCACCCAGGTGTCAGTAAAAGGTCAGATTATCACAGTGTCAGTAAGTAGTTAGGTCTCCCAGGTGTCAGTAAAAGGTCAGATTATCGCAGTGTCAGTAAGTAGTTAGGTCACCCAGGTGTCAGTAAGAGGTCAGATTATCGCAGTGTCAGTAGGTAGGTCACCCAGGAGTCAGTAAGAGGTCAGATTATCGCAGTGTCAGTAAGTAGTTAGGTCTCCCAGGTGTCAGTAAGAGGTCAGATTATTGCAGTGTCAGTAAGTAGTTAGGTCTCCCAGGTGTCAGTAAGAGGTCAGATTATCGCAGTGTCAGTAGGTAGGTCACCTAGGTGTCAGTAAGAGGTCAGTCCCTCCAGGGTGCTCCCACCTGTGAATTCCGCTGCACTCGATGCACAGGGTCACCCCTAGGTTGATGCTCGCCCACTCTGGCTCGGCGGCTCTGCAGTCACAGCAGGCCGCATTCCCGGCTACTCTCAGTATGGCATCCTGTGCACACGGCACTCCTCCCTTCTGCGGTGCTGGAGCCTCGGCTGGTGAACGGGGCAATCTCTGAGGAGAGAAGGGTGTCACTCATCTACACATCATCATCGCACTCACTCACAGCCATTTGGTGTCACTCACAAAACTGCCGCTGTCCCTCTTATTCTCACTGTACGCCGTTGTGATGCTCCTCTGAACCCGCGCTCACCCACAGCTGCAGGACGCGCTCAGACTCTGCCTGCAGCATGCAGGACCTACAACGCAGAGATCACAGCACTGGGACCAGGACAGGTAAGTGCACAAAACACCAGCGACACCATCGGGTTGTTGTCACACAATCTACATCCAGTCATGGTGACAGTGTGAGAACAGCCCCTCAACTCTCCATACCAGAGCTTCTGGAAGCCCAAATACTCACTTTGATGGTGACACAACCTCAAAGCAGAACCGCTTGTCGGCATCGGGACACAACTTGACTGCGCAGAGCCGGAGGTCCATGATGACGACGGTCACAACATCCTGGAGGAGAATCACACAAGGTCACACATCTACATACCAACACATGGAGAGGGTGGGCAGAACCTGGTGAAGACTCTAGAGGGATCCCACCAAACACCCCGCATCACTAGATGGGCAGAACCCACTGAGCACTCGGGAGAGATCCCACCAAACACCCCGCATCACTAGATGGGCAGAACCTGGTGAAGACTCTAGAGGGATCCCACCAAAACACCCCGCATCACTAGATGGGCAGAACCTGGTGAAGACTCTAGAGGGATCCCACCAAACACCCCGCATCACTAGATGGGCAGAACCTGGTGAAGACTCTAGAGGGATCCCACCAAACACCCCGCATCACTAGATGGGCAGAACCCACTGAGCACTCGGGAGAGATCCCACCAAACACCCCGCATCACTACATGGGCAGAACCCACTGAGCACTCGGGAGAGATCCCACCAAACACCCCGCATCACTAGATGGGCAGAACCTGGTGAAGACTCTAGAGGGATCCCACCAAACACCCCGCATCACTAGATGGGCAGAACCCACTGAGCACTCGGGAGAGATCCCACCAAACACCCCGCATCACTAGGTGGGCAGAACCTGCTGAGGACTCTGAAGAGATCCCACCAAACACCCCACATCACTAGGTGGGCAGAACCTGCTGAAGACTCTAGAGGGATCCCACCAAACACCCCGCATCACTAGATGGGCAGAACCTGGTGAAGACTCTAGAGGGATCCCACCAAACACCCCGCATCACTAGATGGGCAGAACCTGGTGAAGACTCTAGAGGGATCCCACCAAACACCCCGCATCACTAGATGGGCAGAACCTGGTGAAGACTCTAGAGGGATCCCACCAAACACCCCGCATCACTAGGTGGGCAGAACCTGCTGAGCACTCGGGAGAGATCCCACCAAACACCCCGCATCACTAGATGGGCAGAACCTGCTGAAGACTCTAGAGGGATCCCACCAAACACCCCGCATCACTAGGTGGGCAGAACCTGCTGAGCACTCTGGAGAGATCCCACCAAACACCCTGCATCACTAGATGGGCAGAACCTGGTGAAGACTCTAGAGGGATCCCACCAAACACCCCGCATTACTAGATGGGCAGAACCCGCTGAGCACTCGGGAGAGATCCCACCAAACACCCCGCATCACTAGGTGGGCAGAACCTGCTGAAGACTCTGGAGAGATCCCACCAAACACCCCGCATCACTAGATGGGCAGAACCCGCTGAGCACTCGGGAGAGATCCCACCAAACACCCCGCATCACTAGATGGGCAGAACCTGCTGAAGACTCTAGAGGGATCCCACCAAACACCCCGCATCACTAGGTGGGCAGAACCTGCTGAAGACTCTGGAGAGATCCCACCAAACACCCCGCATCACTAGATGGGCAGAACCTGCTGAAGACTCTGGAGAGATCCCACCAAACACCCCGCATCACTAGGTGGGCAGAACCTGCTGAGCACTCTAGAGGGATCCCACCAAACACCCCGCATCACTAGATGGGCAGAACCTGCTGAAGACTCTAGAGGGATCCCACCAAACACCCCGCATCACTAGATGGGCAGAACCTGCTGAAGACTCTAGAGGGATCCCACCAAACACCCCGCATCACTAGATGGGCAGAACCTGCTGAAGACTCTGGAGAGATCCCACCAAACACCCCGCATCACTAGATGGGCAGAACCTGCTGAAGACTCTGGAGAGATCCCACCAAACACCCCGCATCACTAGGTGGGCAGAACCTGCTGATCACTCTAGAGGGATCCCACCAAACACCCCGCATCACTAGGTGGGCAGAACCTGCTGAGCGCTCGGGAGAGATCCCACCAAACACCCCGCATCACTAGATGGGCAGAACCTGCTGAGCACTCGGGAGAGATCCCACCAAACACCCAGCATCACTAGATGGGCAGAACCTGCTGAGCACTCTGGACAGATCCCACCAAACACCCCGCATCACTAGATGGGCAGAACCTGGTGAGCACTCGGGAGAGATCCCACCAAACACCCCGCATCACTAGATGGGCAGAACCTGGTGAGCACTCGGGAGAGATCCCACCAAACACCCCGCATCACTAGATGGGCAGGACCTGCTGAGCACTCGGGAGAGATCCCACCAAACACCCCGCATCACTAGATGGGCAGAACCTGCTGAGCACTCGGGAGAGATCCCACCAAACACCTAACATCACTAGATGGGCAGAACCAGATATCGGAAATGGCACCACCCTTCAGAAGGTGGCCTCCCAAATCCTCATCACTTCTGCCAGTAATTATATCATCTTGGAGTTACACAGAAAGATTCGGCTCCAAGGTACAGACAACCCTGCACTCGGGGCTTCAACAAGTCAGAAGGTAAGTTCCCAATAAATCCATCATACAGAAAATATTTTCAGGATTCCTTGCCAAAGAACAATTCTTAACAATCTCTCCCCCCACCCCTCCGGATTCTTCTCCAGTAATTTTATTGATTGAAGTAGTCAAATAAATGACCAATAAAGTTTTCATCAAACTGAACGGTGTTCTGTGGTTGTGTAATCGTTTGGTTACTAGATGATAAAACTAGAGTAAGGTTAGGCAGCATCGAGGACTTGGAAAAGTGTAAACATCATCCGAAGGATACAAATCAAAGGTAAAATGGGCCATAATCAGCTATGAGAGGCTAAAAGGAGAAAGAAAAGTTCATACATATACATTGAAAATCACTGGAATCAGGAGGAAAAACCTTTTCTTGCTCGCTTTCTGCCAAACACAACAATGGGCAGATCTCAACCCTTTCACTGGAGTCCAAGAAGGACCTCATGTCTTTCACTGAAATCCATGGAAGGCCTTAAATCCTTCACTGGAGTCCAAGAAAGACTTCACATTGTTCAATGAAATCCATTGAGGACCTCAAATCCTTCATTGGAGTCCAAGGAGGACCTCAAATATTTCACTGAAATCCATGGAAGGCCTTAAATCCTTCACTGGAGTCCAAGAAAGACTTCAATGAAGGATTTGAGGCCCTCTGTGGATTTCAGTGAACAATGTGAAGTCTTCCTTTTAGGATTTAAGGCTTTCCATATACTTCACTGAAAGAATTGAGGTCCTCCTTGTACTTCAATGACGGATTTGAGGTCCTCTGTGGATTTCAGTGAAAAATGTGGAGTCCAAGGAGGACCTCTAATATTTCAGTGAAATCTATGGAAGGGCTTAAATCCTTTACTGGAGTCCAAGGAGGACCTCAGATCGTTCACTAGATTTCAAGAAGGACAGCATGTCTTTCACTGAAATCCATGGAAGACCTCAAATCATTTGCTGCAGTCCAAGAAAGGCCTCACAACTTTTACAACAGTTCTTCAATGGAGTCCAAGTAGGACCTCAAACCTTTCACTGAAATCATATTGAAGGCCTAAAATCATTTGCTGCAGTCCAAGAAAGACCTCACATCTTTTACAACAATCTAAGGAATATCTCAAATCTTTCATCAGCGTTCAGGAAAGAACTTAAGTCATTCACTGGAGTTCAAGTGGTACCTCAAATCTGTCACTGAAATCCATGGAAGGCCTCAAATCCTTCATGGAAGTCCAAGAAAGACCTCAAATCTTTCACCGAAATCCATGAAATACCTAAAATCCTTCATTGGTGTCCAAGAAGGACCTCAAATCTTTCACTGAAATCTATGGAAGGCCTAAAATCCTTCACTGGAGTCCAAGAAGGACTTCAAATCTTTCACTAAAATCAGCTGAAGGCCTCAAATCCTTTGCTGCAGTCCAAGAAAGACCTCAAATCTTTTACAACAGTCCAAGGAGTATCTAAAATCTTTCATCAGGGTTCAGGTAAGACCGTAAATCATTCACTTGAGTGATTGAGGACCTCATATTTCAATGCAATCCTTTACTGGAGTCCAAGAAAGATCTCATTCTATTAATAAGGCCCAAGGAAGACCTGAGGTACTTCACTAGAGTTCAGAAAAGACTCAAATCATTCACTGGATTCAAAGAAGAACCTCAAATCTTACACTAGGGACTAGGAAAGACTTAAAGTTACTCATTGGAGTCCTGGGAAGATCTGAAAAATCTTTAACTGAAATCCAAAGAAGAACCAAAATCATTCACTAGGGTCCAAGAAAGACCTCAGATCTTTCACTGGAGTCCAAGAGAAACCTCAAATCTTACAGAAGACCAAGAAAGACCTGAAATCGCTCACTGGAGTCCAAGGAAGATCTAAAAATCTTTAACTGGAATCCAAGGAAGAACTGAAATTGTTCACTGGAATCCAGGAATTATCTCATATCATTCACCTGAGTCCAAGAAAGACATCAAGTCATTCAATTGAATCCAAAGAAGACCGCTGGTTTTTCACTGGAATAAAAAAAAAATAAAACCTTAACTCCTTCACTTAGATTCAAGGAAAACCTCAAATATTTCACTGGAGTTCAAGGAGGACCTCAAATAATTCACTGGAATTCAATGAAGACATTAAATACTTTATTGGAGTCCAAGGAGGTCCTCAAATCTTCAAGTGGAATTAAATAAAGACTTAAAATCTCTCACTGGAATACAAGGCATACTTCCCAATTATTACATGCAGAGATTATGTCCATGAATAGATGAACACGGGGAGGAGGAACCATCTACTCACCACCTTCTTTTGATAAACCAGCTGATTGTTCTGAATGGAAAACCACCGACTAGAGAGGAGACAGAATAGGTACACTTTATGTCTCGTCGGATTTTTTGGACCCCATTCTTACAGTTGTTCTGCATTCCTCTATCCCAACCCAAAACTACCACCAGACATGCCAATGCTGCTCTATTTGTCACATCCAACATTCTTCTCTCTTCACATGTCAACCCCCAAATCCATGTGCAGTACTCAGTGCCAGGTGTAAACCATCAATCACCTATCTCTCCATTGCTCCCAGTGTCTGTTATCCTGACCGGTCTCCATCCACCTTGTACCCCACTTCCTTGCTGCCCCCACTTCTCTGAAACAAACATGGAAATCCCCTCACCGGCTCCAGGTCTTAAAGGTGTTACTGGCCCGCTTAAAGAGGTAACCTTCAATCACAATCTCTGAGGTTTCTCCCTCACCCTGGTAGACGGCATCCTCATCCGAAACATCCTGCAGAAAGAGAGGAGAGAGCCACCAAATACACAACACTGCATACCAAAGGACACTGGTATAATCAGGAGAGACATATCAACAGCGTAGTGTTAGTACATAGCGTGACCTGAACTACACAACTGCACCAGAGACACCATAGTGGACTTCATGAAGCTTTGTTATCGACACCAGAGCCACCAAAGAGGAAGTTCTCCATGTGATATGATGGAGAGACGCTTGTGGAAAGCCAACGATGAGATTTGTTAAAGAAGAATGAAGAAAACCATGATGGACTCATAATTAGGGAAGTCATTTGTTTATCTATGGTGGAGAAGAAGAAACCACTTATGGAATGAGGAGTTAATGGGGACACCAGAACATAGAGGGCAGAAACGTTACGGACCATAAAGATCATTCAGACACTTGACGTAACTCAATCAAGGGTTCTGAGGATTGGCACAACTACAACAAATGTTGGAAAGAACAGAAATATTTGTCCAGGCGAATGCGTATGGCAGTCGTGTTTGGTGAACATTCTCTAACTGAAGAAGAGGACAATACCGAGCTGCTTCTGCAACAATTATGTAGATTGGGTGTAGTAATCACAGAGGATGTGGATGGTGTGACTTTGAGGTATTCCAGGGGAAGAACAACATATGAACACACTGAGATATGTTTTTATCTGAAGTGATGCATTTCTTTGGACTTGCTGCTGATTTATTGGTGAGAAGTGTTAAGGGAACCCGGAAACTCACATACTGAAGACAAAACCACAGCGTGGAGCTCTTCAGCACTCTGGACAAACATGGTGCCGTCCATAAATTGCGTGACCTGGAGAATAAAACTGGAGCTGAGAATGAATGGGACATACATGAAGGAGTACGGTGGGGGCATTCTATAGAAAATGATGGGACACTGACACCTGGAAAGTTCTAGGTGAATGAAATGAAGGTGATTCAGGGGAAGGTTGAGTAATAAATAGACGATCCACCCTACCGATAGTCCTTGACTGAAGAATTTCCCCAAATTTATACTACTCATCCACGGCAAGATCTCTGTGATATTTCCTGGGCAACAAACGAGTTGGACAAATATTTGGAAACGCTCCATGATTTGCAGGTGTGAAAGTGACACCATGTTTGGCGGTGAAAGCGGAAGTGATGTAACATTGTTTTGCTTCCGCTGTGTGATGAGACACCTAAGCCAACAGGTTGGAAGCCTCACTTTCCTCATTCGCTGCGTGCGCTGCCAGTACTGAGCTTCAAAGAGGGCAAATTGTTGGTGCCGCTTAGCTGGCACCTCTGCGACTGATAATTGCCAGTTTATGTGCCGTGTGGTGAGGTTCAATATGAAAGGTGATGACGGCGTATACAGCTTCCGGGAAAACACCGTCTGATAAGAATAAGCGCGGTCCCCATGGTCACCTGACCGAAAGAGACATTGCGCAGGATTGTGACCCAGAATAAGAAAACATCATAAGGGACTGCAGAGCTCAATCTCAGTCTTCCAAAGCCCGTGTCCCTGCAGAGGGAACTGCATAAGCAGCACATTCACGGTCGAGCTGCAATTGCCAAACCACTAGTGACCAATATTAATGCTCAGAAGAGGAGAGAGTGGTGCAACACCCATAAATGGTGGACAATTGATCAATGGAAGACCAATATGGTCCGATCAATGGAAGACCAATATGGTCCGATGAATGGAAGACCAATATGGTCCGATGAATGGAAGACCAATATGGTCCGATCAATGGAAGACCAATATGGTCCGATCAATGGAAGACCAATATGGTCCGATCAATGGAAGACCAATATGGTCCGATGAATCGAGCTTCACACTGTTCTCAATCAATGGACATGTTTATGTGTGACCAACACCACCCCAAGCTTACCACCAGGGCTGTCTAGTGCCAACTGTAAACGGTGGCGAACAGTCATGGCTCGGGCAACCATATCTTGGTATTCTGCCGGCCCCATCATCACTGCCAACGACTACAGGTGAAACTCAAAAAATGAGAATATGGTGCAAAAGTTCATTGATTTCAGTGCAGCAACTTAAAAGGTGAAACTAATATATGAGACTCATTCCATGCAAAGCAAGATAGTTCAAGCCGTGATTTGTCATCATTGTGATGATTATGGCTTACAGCTCATGAAAACCCCAAATCCACAATCTCAGAAAATGAGAATATTGTGAAAAGGTGGAATAATCTCGGCTCAAAGTGTCCCACTCTAATCCTCATTCAGCCATAACACCTGCAAAGGGTTCCTGAGCCTTTCAATGGTCTCTCAGTCTGGTTCAGTAGGAATCACAATCATGGGAAAGACTGCTGACCTGACACCATCACTGACACCCTCCATAAGGAGGGAAAGCCTCAAAAGGGAATTGCAGAAGAAGTTGGATGTTCCCAAAGTGCTGCATCAAAGCACATCAATAGAAAGTTATGTGGAAGGGAAAAGTGTGGAAGAAAAAGGTGCACAAGCAGCAGGGATGACCGCAGCCTGGAGAGGATTGTCAGGAAAAGGCCATTCAAAAGTGTTGGGGACTTTCACAAGGAGTGGACTGAGGCTGGAGTCAGTGCATCAAGAGCCACCACACACAGACGAATCCTGGACATGGGCTTTAAAATGTCGTATTTTCTCTCGTCAAGCCGCTCCTGAACAACAAACGTCAGAAGCATCTCACCTGGGCTAAAGAAAAACAGACCTGGTCTGTCCTCAGTGGTCCAAAGTCCTCTTTTCTGATGAGAGCAACTTTTGCATCTCATTTGGAAACCAAGGACCCGGAGTATGGAGGAAGAATGGAGAGGCCCAAGGACCCCGAGTATGGAGGAAGAATGGAGAGGCCCAAGGACCCGGAGTATGGAGGAAGAATGGAGAGGCACAAGGACCCGGAGTATGGAAGAAGAATGGAGAGGCCCAAGGACCCCGAGTATGGAGGAAGAATGGAGAGGCCCAAGGACCCAGAGTATGGAGGAAGAATGGAGAGGCCCAAGGACCCCGAGTATGGAGGAAGAATGGAGAGGCCCAAGGACCCAGAGTATGGAGGAAGAATGGAGAGGCCCAAGGACCCCGAGTATGGAGGAAGAATGGAGAGGCCCAAGGACCCAGAGTAAGGAGGAAGAATGGAGAGGCCCGAGGACCCTGAGTATGGAGGAAGAATGGAGAGGCCCGAGGACCCCGAGTAGGGAGGAAGAATGGAGAGGCCCGAGGACCCCGAGTAGGGAGGAAAAATGGAGAGGCCCAAGGACCCCGAGTATGGAGGAAGAATGGAGAGGCCCAAGGACCCCGAGTATGGAGGAAGAATGGAGAGGCCCGAGGACCCTGAGTAAGTAGGAAGAATGGAGAGGCCTGAGGACCCTGAGTATGGAGGAAGAATGGAGAGGCCCGAGGACCCCGAGTATGGAGGAAAAATGGAGAGGCACAAGGACCCCGAGTATGGAGGAAGAATGGAGAGGCACAAGGACCCCGAGTATGGAGGAAGAATGGAGAGGCACAAGGACCCAGAGTATGGAGGAAGAATGGAGAGGCCCAAGGGCCCCGAGTATGGAGGAAGAATGGAGAGGCCCACGGACCCCAAGTATGGAGGAAGAATGGAGAGGCACAAGGACCCCGAGTATGGAGGAAGAATGGAGAGGCCCAAGGACCCCGAGTATGGAGGAAGAATGGAGAGGCCCAAGGACCCCGAGTGTGGAGGAAGAATGGAGAGGCACACACTGCAAGATGCTTGAAGTCCAGTGTGAAGTTTCCACAGTCGGTGTTGATTTGGGGAGCCATGTCATCTGCTGGTGTTGGTCCACTGTGCTTCATTAAGTCCAGGGTCACCGCAGCCGTCTACCCGGAGATTTTGGAGCACTTCATGCTTCCTTCCGCAGACCAGCTTTATGGGGATGCTGACTTCCTTTTCCAGCAGGACTTGGCTCCGCCCACACTGCCAAAAGCACCAAAACCTGGTTCAATGACCGTGGGATTACTGTGCTTGATTGGCCAGCAAACTCACTTGACCTGAACCCCATAGAGAATCTATGGGGCATTGCCAAGAGAAAGATGAGAGACATGAGACCGAACAATGCAGAAGAGCTGAAGGCCGCTATTGAGGCATCCTGGTCTTCCATAACACCTCAGCAGGGCCACAGGCTGATAGCTTCCATGCCACGCCGCATTGAGGCAGTAATTGCTGCAAAAGGGGCCCCAACCAAGTACTGAGTACATATGCAGCTTCTACTTTTCAGAGGTGCGATATTGTTCTATGTACAATCCGTGTTTTATTGATTGCATGGAATATTCTCATTTTCTGAGATTGTGGATTTGGGGTTTTCATGAGCTGTAAGCCATAATCATCACAATGATGACAAATCACGGCTGGAACTATCTTGCTTTGCATGGAATGAGTCTCATATATTAGTGTCACCTTTTAAGTTGCTGCACTGAAATAAATCAGCTTTTGCACCAGATTCTCATTTTTCCAGTTTCACCTGTATGTACAAATGTTGGCCGACCTTGTGCAACCTATGGTGCAGACATTGTTTCCCGAAGATGGCGCCATTTACCAAGACGATAATTCTCCAATTCATACAGCTGGTGGTGTCAAATCGTGGTTGCAGATGAAGTCTTGCACCTTCCCTGGGCGCCGCAGTCACCAGACCTCAATATCATAGAGTGACTATGGTCAATTTTGGAGAACAAGGTTCAGGCATCTCTGCAAGAACTGGAATGATTTGTGCAGGAAAAGTGCTATCAGATTCCATTATCCACCATCCAATACCCATCTCTGTCAATTTCCTGGAGAGTTTAGGTTGTCTTGGATACCAAAGGTGGTCCAACACCATATTAGGTTACAAGTTCACTCTTTCACCTGGTGTTTCCAGAATTTTGTCCAACCCCTGTAAGTCTCCTGCAGGGTATCTTCACCCAAAAACCATACAATGCAGAATACAGGCACACGTTGTATTCCAATCAGTGTACCATGAACTGTCCTACATAGAAGATCACATTTCTGCTCTAGATCTTCTTTTCTAGGACTTCTTGTAAAGCCAAAACATCCTAAATGCACAAATCACGTGACTGGTATGAAAAATGTATTTCGCAATGTATCGGCCAGCCTGACGGAAGGAGGAGAGATTGGAGAAGAAAGGAGGGAATGGCAAGAGGAAGGAAGAGAGATGGTAGAGGGGAAGGGGAAGAGAGATGAAGGAAGGGAGAGGAAAGGAGGAGGAACTGGAGAAGAAAGGGAGGGAATGGGAAGGAGGGGGAAGAGAGATGAAGGAAGGGAGAGGAATGGGAGAAGAGGAAGGGATAGATGAAGGAAGGGAGAGGAAAGGAGGAGGAACTGGAGAAGAAAGGGAGGGAATGGGAAGAGGGAGGGGGAAGAGAGATGAAGGAAGGGAGAGGAATGGGAGAAGAGGAAGGGATAGATGAAGGAAGGGAGAGGAAAGGAGAAGGAACTGGAGAAGAAAGGGAGGGAATGGGAAGAGGAAGGAAGAGGGACGGGGAAGAGATAGATGAAGAAAGGGGAGAGGGCAATGATGGATGTGAATTGGATGGGAGATAAACGGGTGAGAGATGGGAGAGGAACTGGAAAGGAATGAGAAAAGAAGGGAGGAAATGTTGAAGGAAGGAGGGAAAGGGGGAGGGAAGGAGGAGAGATTGGAGAAAAAAAAAAAAGGAGAGAATGGCAAGAGGGAGGGGGAAGAGATAGATAAAGGAAGGGAGAGGAAAGGAGGAGGAATAGGCGAGAAAGGAGGGAATGGAAGAGGAAGGAAGGAAGAGAGATGGTAGAAGGGAGGGGGGAAGGGTAAGAGATAGTTGAAAGAGGAGAAGGGGGAGAGGACAATGAGGGATGTGAATTGGATGAATGGGTGAGAGAAGGGAGAGGAACAGGAAAGGAATGGGAAAAGAAAGGAAGGGAGGGTGGTAGAGGATGAGGAAGGGAGGGTGGTAGAGGATGAGGGGATGGAAGGAGGAGGGATTAGGGAGGGAAGTAATTTGGAATGGAATTGGAATAGTATGAGCATTTTACAGACTTCCAGAGAAAACCATCCTCACCTTGTGTTTCATGCTGATCAGTTTCTGCTCCAGATCTCTCTGCTCCCGAGCACCTTGTAGGACCGTCTGATGGACCTGCAGAACAGAATGGACGTCATTCCACTATGAGGCCCGCTGTCGCACTCATTCTTCTTGATACAGTGACAAGGGACATCATCCAACAGAGGTCCCTGCATGTTTCAGTTGTATTGAGTATGAGGGACTTTAAAAACCTTAAGGTGGACCTGCATTAAAAAACGATTTTCTCTAATTAGGAGTCAACCAAAACCAAAGGCTGATGCTAGTTGATGTCTGTTGACTCTGACAGTAGAATTATTGGATGGGGACAACTTCTTTGTGCCATGTACAGGTCCATACTGAGTGGTGGACATACTGAACCTGCCCATGTATTGTCACCCAATGTCCTCCACAGAACTAGTCATCTTGGCATTATAGAGAAGGGAAAACTACCCCCCCCCCTTCAACATTCTGTCTTTTTTCTCTGGTGGGGGGCGAGAGGGAAGTGGTTGGGGTATTTCTTCCTGCACCCCTCACCTGTGTGGCCAGGCCCTTCCGATATTCCTCCACGTTCTTCAGGACGGTGTGACTCTGTGTGAGGAAACAAGTCTGAGCGTCTATCAGCTGCAGCATCTGGAAGAGAAGGGAGGAGTCACTCCGGGGAAGGGCCCCCTATTACCATTCCCATCCCAAAAAACAAACTCTAGAGATTTCCTAGTCTCTGTCCAGTGGATGTGATGGCTGTGCTGTGAGACAGGTGCCCTTTATTTTTCTGACTTTGCTCTACTCAATATCCGTCCAATCATTTCTGATAATCCCGTAGGACAGAGACCCGCAAAATCCATCCAATCATTTCTGATAGTCCCGAAGGACAGAGACCCCCAATATCCTTCCAATCATTTCTGATAATCCCGTAGGACAGAGACGCCCAATATCCATCCAATCATTTCTGATAATCCCGTAGGACAGAGACCCCCAATATCCGTCCAATCATTTCTGATAATCCCATAGGACAGAGACCCCCAATATCCTTCCAATCATTTCTGATAATCCCGTAGGACAGAGACGCCCAATATCCATCCAATCATTTCTGATAATCCCATAGGACAGAGACGCCCAATATCCGTCCAATCATTTCTGATAATCCCATAAAACAGAGACCCCCAAAATCCATCCAATCATTTCTGATAAACTCATAGGACAGAGACCCCCAATATCCTTCCAATCATTTCTGATAGTCCCGAAGGACAGAGACCCCCAATATCTGTCCAATCATTTCTGATCATCCCATAAAACAGAGACCCCCAAAATCCATCCAATCATTTATGATAATCCCATAAAACAGAGACCCCCAATGTCCGTCCAATCATTTCTGATAATTCCATAGGACAGAGACCCCCAATATCCATCCAATCATTTATGTTAATTCTGTAGGACAGAGACCCCCAATATCTGTCCAATCATTTATGATAATCCCATAAAACAGAGACCCCCAATGTCCGTCCAATCATTTCTGATAATCCCATAGGACAGAGACCCCCAAAATCCATCCAATCATTTATGATAATCCCATAAAACAGAGACCCCCAATGTCCGTCCAATCATTTCTGATAATTCCATAGGACAGAGACCCCCAATATCCATCCAATCATTTATGTTAATTCTGTAGGACAGAGACCCCCAATATCTGTCCAATCATTTATGATAATCCCATAGGACAGAGACCCCCAATATCTGTCCAATCATTTATGATAATCCCATAGGACAGAGACCCCCAATATCTGTCCAATCATTTATGATAATCCCGTAGGACAGAGACCCCCAATGTCCATCCATTCATTTATGATAATCCCGAAGGACAGAGACCCCCATCATCCATCCAATCATTTATGATCATCCTGTAGGACAGAGACCCCCATCATCTATCCAATCATTTATGATCATCCCGTAAAACAGAGACCCCCAATATCCATCCAATCATTTATGATCATCCCATAGGACAGAGACCCCCATCATCCATCCAATCATTTATGATCATTCCGTAGGACAGAGACCCCCAATGTCTGTCCAATCATTTAGGATAATCCCATAGGACAGAGACCCCCAATATCCGTCCAATCATTTCTGATAATCCCGTAGGACAGAGACCCCCAATGTCTGTCCATCATCCATCCAATCATTTAGGATAATCCTGTAGGACAGAGACCCCCATCATCATCCATCCAATCATTTATGATCATCCCGTAGGTCAGAGACCCCCATCATCCATCCAATCATTTATGATAATCCCGTAGGACAGAGACCCCCAATATCCATCCAATCATTTATGATCATCCCGTAGGACAGAGACTCCAGAATTGGGTTTCCGGGAAACTCACAAACTCCAAAATGTCGAACTTCTTCTTCCCTTGGATGACGTTGATCTGGAGGAGACAGACAAGTGGAAGATGGAGGAGATCAGAAGAACGATATTAGTCTTCATTTTATGTTTCTGACTGGTTACCACAGTGAAGGAAATGTGTAATTTTTTGGAGCTCAGACATCCACAGGAATTTATTCCCCACCACTTGACTTATGTAGGACCGAGCTAAGACAGACTAGATAGGGATCCGTAGTTTCAGCATACGTTCCAACATTAAGGTCCTGCGTTCCAGTGCGGCCAATGTTTCATGTAGCCACTTCCTGGGTGGGCATGCCCAAATTATACCCACTTTTCAGGTTGGTCCCGCCCAGACCTTGCCTATAAATATTCAGGGACTGCCGTTGCATTAACTTTATGTGTCGGTCCTGCCGGAACCTCATATATGCGGGGACCGCCCACTCTGATCCCTACAATGAACATCTTTTTGAGTTACAGCCCAGGTACATTATCTCAGCTATGGTTGATGCTGTGATCCCGGGACATGACCCAGGACATAGGACCAGGATGTGGGACTGTCCCAGTAAATACAGGACAGTTGGATTTCATTTATGATCTTCAGCTGAGCCCAATGAGATTTGAAATTGACAGTCACATGACTGAAAAATGAAGATCCTTATCCCCGTGAATTGGGCCTTACAATATAATCAGATATACAGTGACATGATATGAGGGCCTGGACCTCACCTGCAGCGCATAATCCAGAACTCGCTCTCTGAACGCCTTGCGGGAAGTCTGCACCGCCACCGCCGCTTCCTGCACTTCCTGCGCCTTCTTGCGAGAAATCTCGGCGTTGTGGTTTAAGGCGCCCTCCAGGCCCTCTCTGCAGCGTTCCAATTCCTTGCGGCTGTCTCGGAAGGAGCGTATGTCTCTAGGATGGACAACAACATAGAGAAACGATGACAGATCTCCAGAGGGATCACTGTACCATCGAGTGTAGGGGTCGGGTGTACTGGGGCCCCTTCGTGGAGAAGGGCCCCCTCTCTCACTGGCTAATAATCACCAAGGCACCTCTGTAGGTGGAACACATTCCAGTAATGATGGTGTTAAAGCAAACATACAACATCCTCTCTGTAGTAATCTGGATGGTGGACTGAAGGGCCGACACCTTTGGAATCAGTTTATTTACTGAAAAGACCGATCTCTTCACCCACCAGAGGCTGCCCAATGATGGAGGAAGGAGAGGAGAGGATAACAGAGGTGAGGGATGGAGGAAGGAGAGGGGAGGACAACAGAGGTGAGGGATGGAGGAAGGAGAGGGGAGGATAACAGAGGTGAGGGATGGAGGAAGGAGAGGGGAGGATAACAGAGGTGAGGGATGGAGGAAGGAGAGGGGAGGACAACAGAGGGGAGGGATGGAGGAAGGAGAGGGGAGGACAACAGAGGTGAGGGATGGAGGAAGGAGAGGGGGGAGGACAACAGAGGTGAGGGATGGAGGAAGGAGAGGGGAGGATAACAGAGGTGAGGGATGGAGGAAGGAGAGGGGAGGATAACAGAGGGGAGGATGGAGGAAGGAGAGGGGAGGATAACAGAGGTGAGGATGGAGGAAGGAGAGGGGAGGATAACAGAGGTGAAGGACGGAGGAAGGAGAGGGGAGGATAACAGAGGTGAGGGACGGAGGAAGGAGAGGGGAGGACAACAGAGGTGAGGGATGGAGGAAGGAGAGGGGAGGATAACAGAGGTGAGGGATGGAGGAAGGAGAGGGGAGGATAACAGAGGTGAGGGATGGAGGAAGGAGAGGGGAGGATAACAGAGGTGAGGATGGAGGAAGGAGAGGGGAGGATGGAGGAAGGAGAGGGGAGGATAACAGAGGTGAGGATGGAGGAAGGAGAGGGGAGGATGGAGGAAGGAGAGGGGAGGATAACATAGGTGAGGGATGGAGGAAGGAGAGGGGAGGATAACATAGGTGAGGGACGGAGGAAGGAGAGGGGAGGATAACAGAGGTGCGGGATGGAGGAAGGAGAGGGGAGGATAACAGAGGTGAGGATGGAGGAAGGAGAGAGGAGGATAACAGAGGTGAGGGATGGAGGAAGGAGAGGGGAGGATAACAGAGGTGAGGGATGGAGGAAGGAGAGGGGAGGATAACAGAGGTGAGGGATGGAGGAAGGAGGGGGGGAGGATAACAGAGGGGAGGGATGGAGGAAGGAGAGGGGAGGATAACAGAGGTGAGGATGGAGGAAGGAGAGGGGAGGATGGAGGAAGGAGAGGGGAGGATAACAGAGGTGAGGATGGAGGAAGGAGAGGGGAGGATGGAGGAAGGAGAGGGGAGGATAACAGAGGTGAGGATGGAGGAAGGAGAGGGGAGGATAACATAGGTGAGGGGGATGGAGGAGGGAGAGGGGAGGATAACAGAGGTGAGGGATGGAGGAAGGAGAGGGGAGGATAACAGAGGTGAGGGACGGAGGAAGGAAGGAGAGGGGAGGATAAACAGAGGTGAGGGACGGAGGAAGGAGAGGGGAGGATAACAGAGGTGAGGGACGGAGGAAGGAGAGGGGAGGATAACAGAGGTGAGGGACGGAGGAAGGAGAGGGGAGGATAACAGAGGTGAGGGACGGAGGAAGGAGAGGGGAGGATAACAGAGGTGAGGGACGGAGGAAGGAGAGGGGAGGATAACAGAGGTGAGGGACGGAGGAAGGAGAGGGGAGGACAACAGAGGTGAGGGACGGAGGAGGAGGAGAGGGGAGGATAACAGAGGTGAGGGATGGAGGAAGGAGAGGGGAGGATAACAGAGGTGAGGGATGGAGGAAGGAGAGGGGAGGAGGATAACAGAGGTGAGGGATGGAGGAAGGAGAGGGGAGGATAACAGAGGTGAGGGATGGAGGAAGGAGGGAGGGGAGGATAACAGAGGTGAGGGATGGAGGAAGGAGAGGGGAGGATAACAGAGGTGAGGGATGGAGGAAGGAGAGGGGAGGATATCAGAGGTGAGGGATGGAGGAAGGAGAGGGGAGGATATCAGAGGTGATGGACGGAGGAAGGAGAGGACAACAGAGGTGAGGGATGGAGGAAGGAGAGGGGAGGATAACAGAGGTGAGGATGGAGGAAGGAGAGAGGAGGATAACAGAGGTGAGGGATGGAGGAAGGAGAGGGGAGGATAACAGAGGTGAGGGATGGAGGAAGGAGAGGGGAGGATAACAGAGGTGAGGATGGAGGAAGGAGAGGGGAGGATAACAGAGGTGAGGATGGAGGAAGGAGAGGGGAGGATAACAGAGGTGAGGGATGGAGGAAGGAGAGGGGAGGATAACAGAGGGAAAAGATGGAGGAAGGAGAGGGGAGGATAACAGAGGTGAGGATGGAGGACGGAGAGGGGAGGATAACAGAGGTGAGGGATGGAGGAAGGAGAGGAGAGGACAACAGAGGTGAGGGATGGAGGAAGGAGAGGACAACAGAGGTGAGGGATGGAGGAAGGGAGGGGAGGATAACAGAGGGGAGGGGACGGAGGAAGGAGAGGGGAGGATAACAGAGGTGAGGGACGGAGGAAGGAGAGAGGAGGATAACAGAGGTGAGGGACGGAGGAAGGAGAGGGGAGGATAACAGAGGTGAGGGACGGAGGAAGGAGAGAGGAGGATAACAGAGGTGAGGGACGGAGGAAGGAGAGAGGAGGATAACAAAGGTGAGGGACGGAGGAAGGAGAGGGGAGGACAACATAGGTGAGGGATGGAGGAAGGAGAGAGGAGGACAACAGAGGTGAGGGATGGAGGAAGGAGAGGAGAGCACAACAGAGGTGAGGGATGGAGGAAGGAGAGGGGAGGACAACAGAGGTGAGGGATGGAGGAAGGAGAGGAGAGCACAACAGAGGTGAGGGATGGAGGAAGGAGAGGGGAGGACAACAGAGGTGAGGGATGGAGGAAGGAGAGGGGAGGACAACAGAGGTGAAGGGCGGAGGAAGGAGAGAGGAAGGTTTATGAAGGACCATATCTGGGATGGAGATTAGCTCACTCTTTCAGGAGATGATGCAGTTTGTGTTTGAAGCTTTTTTGGATGGAGTCCAGGAGCTCCTGTCGGAGGAAAGGAAGATGGTCAGCATGGAAATATTGGATGGAGGCCAGAGAATGGTAACTAGAAAGGTGACAGAACAGATAAGTGAGAGTGAATAGGCTGCACACAAAGAAACAAAAATAGAGAAAGGTAAGAAGGAGGCATCATATCGGAAAGCCTCCATTGTGAGGTGCCACCGAAGAGGTCCCAATATGGACTATTATTTTCAGAGGTCAGGTTCCCTCCCTGCTCAGTCCTGTTAGTGTTGGTATGTTGTTCTGAAATGTCTTGCAGAGCAGTGTGCTCTGGGCATTTCTGTATCACATTACCTGTTGAGGGGCCCCCAGAGTTCTGTGACAGAATTGGTGCAGAGAGGTCTGTCCTGAAAGCTGTACCCCTGGAACAGTTGTCATCAGTAGGTTAGGTCAGTCTAACAAAGTACAGAAGTACTGTTCGGTAAAGGATTTTCATTTTGGTAGATCTCCCACCATGGTAGATGTCTTTCTGCTAGAGGAAAGGTCCCCTGTTGAGCAGACTGAGTGCCTTTTCTGGGGCCCCAAGGCTAGGCCTGATGCTGGCTTTGTGTCTGTAGGTGTCAGAGAACTAGGATGGAGTAACAGAGGAACCTCCTGGTTTTATGGTTGGATTCCTCCAGTAGTAGCTATGTGCTCCTGGATGTGGAGACCCACCTAATGACTGCTCGTCCCTAGTCACTAATCCTAGAATTGGATATTCCACCTTCTCTCGTCATCTTGAGTTCTAAGTTTTGAAAGCATGTTCAAGGACTAGACCTGCATTTATTTTCAGCTCCAAATAGGTGTAACTGCCAGGGAACAAGGTGTTCATGGTGAGTCCCACTTACAAGTCCCAGCATCTTCTTGGTGGAGGCACCACCAAGGTGTCCGGACAGTCTCTGATCTCCCACTTGGTGAATACTGAGGTCTTCTAGCTTACATAGGAACTGCATGGCTACATCATTTTCTAGAATTCATTGTATACTTTTCTACATTTGACAATTTTCTTCTTACTAAACTGGAGGAATGGAGGGAGCTAGAGAAGAATATTCCAGATCACAACTTCATACATGGAGAATAAAATTCCACCACAATGTTTACATAGTTCCCAAAGTATGAGGAGACAGAGTCCGATAGGAGAATTCAGAATGGAAGGACATTGAACTGGAGAGGATGAGGATCCAGAAGAACTGAGATGTTATTCTTACCATGTGATTGTCTATAATTGTATTCAGACTGTCCGAGAAACACTCCAAGCAATCCTAGGTAGAAGATATTCAGTTATTGTTCGCAGCAGAACTCCAGAACCACGAAATGAGCAATAAATAAAAGATGAAATCTGGAAAATTGGGGAAAAGGATCCTATCCACCAACAATAGAACTCCAACCAAGAACATTTTATTTTTACTAGATCAGATTTATAAGAGAAGACATCACCAGGAGATGCGTCTGCATCATATAATGACCCCATAAAATCATCATTGGACAACAGTCCATGTTCATGTCTGAATTCTCACCATGATTGCCAAGAAATGGTCTCCAGCAGATAGACTCACCTTCAGCATGGTGTCCTCCTGTGAATGGTGGGACAAGTCGCGCAAGGCGCAGACAAAGTGGCGGCTACTGGTGCAGTACTGACGTCCTCCGTCCACCATATGGGAGGAGAGCTTTACTAGCTGGAAGATGAAGGAAATACAGATTACTCATTTTATGTTCAACTTTTGCAGATTAGGAATAATTGATTGTCTATCAGATTCCATGTGGATGGTTGGAACCATAAATGGTCAGCAGACAATAACCGTGCTTTTGGAGGATACTTATGTCTCCGCCTAGACATTTTATGGTGGATCGCTCTCTAGGCGTAGAAGCCCCAGACCTTACCGGAGAAAAAAAAAGGGCATGTAGTCTTGGTGATGACCAAAGCTTGGATTGTGGAAAGCCCAATATGCCCTCGGAGTGGTTTAGCCAACATATTGATATGGATGCTTCACATAGAGATTACCTCCATCCAGGGGCGGACTGACAACTCATGGGGCCCCCGGGCAATAGGGGATCATGGGGCCCCTGTGTCCTTGCCCAAACTCAAAAAAGCCCATAAAAAAGGTACCAGGGGCATGTCATGGGGCCCCCTACTGACCCCGGGCCCTCGGGCAGTGCCCGAGTTTCCAAATGGTCAGTCCGCCACTGCCTCCAACTAAGAAAACCACAATAGACACTCATCAGCTAAACTACCCATTTTTCCGACAATCCAAGGTTTTAGAAGGGGGGGATGTCCAATACTGGGCAGAATTTTGGGATACACAGAGCGATCTATATAGAAAAATCACGATTACTTTATTCTTGCTGCCTTTTAATTAGAGAAACAATGACATTAAAACTTCAGAATATGGAAACCACAAACAATAAACGCCAAATTAAGGGATTTTGGGTGCATGGCATGTGGCGACGCTTCAGGGCCCGTGGTCTTCGTATGGAGGAAGCTGGGCTGGGGCCTGCAATGCCTGTGGTATCTCTACCATAGAGCAAACCAATGCAGAGGAAGGGGTGGAAATGGTAAGTGTGTGGTGCACATCTAGTAGGTGGCCAGGTAGACACCTTGTGGATCAGGCCCCTAGGATGTAGAAGGCTCTTTGACCAACAACAGGCTGGTGGTTAAGTGATTGGAGAGAGATGTAGGTCTATCATGACCCCTAGAAAGGGCCAGCAAAGGAAAGAAGGGGCTGTTGACCCCTCTGGAACACGTGCCGTCATGTTACAGGACCTCATATACCCCTTCCTGTAGGGGCGGAGTTACCACTTATCAGCTGTGACATTCTGCTGTCTGCATCGTCCTCCAATAGGATGACCACCTTCATGCCGATGGCAGTCATTGCTGTCAAAGTATTGCTGAATTCCCCTCACCCGAGCCTCAGTAAACCCCCATTATCACTATGAGATGGATCCGTGTCCACGTGTGCCAGGGCCACCAAGCATGAGACCATCAAAGGCGAGGTGGAAACTAGACTTCCTGCATTTGTGGTGCAGTAAAAAAAAAAGATGCAAAAAAAGTGGCAAAAACGCATCAAAACCGCAACACACGTGTGAGAAGTGCTTTGTGCAATCACATGACCAGGGAAAAATGCAACGCAAACGCATACAAAATGCAACGCACTGCAGCAAGGACACACATGCGTGTTTTACAAAGGAGCCTAAAAACGCAACTGAAACGCCAAGGATCAATGCGAAGAGTTCCCCAGAATTTAAAGGGATACATTTTTCATACATTTTTCTATTACTTTTTTTTTTCTTTTCCGGAATTGTGTTTGGGTTGGATGGAGGCGGATCCGTCAGAATCTCCGAATCATAACATACCACATGAATCCGAGATTCATTCTGTTTTGTTCAGGTTACGATTCCTCCATCCAACCCAATCAGAGTGCAGAAGAATCGTCTCCCGAAATAATGAAGTCACACAAGAAGACGAATGCAGCCGACTTACAAAATTTGAAATCGATTGGAAAACAACGAATATAAGAAACGAATCCAAATATTGAAAATGAATCCGAATGTACGGAACAAATCCCGGAAATGAATCATTCTAACATAACAAATATCATGAAATGAAATGATTGACTTAACCCCTTCACGCCAACGCCTCCAGGCCCTTTGAGGGTTTCAGAAGCCGGGAGGCGGGGTTTAGGGTCACATGATCAGGAAAGGTCCCGATCGAAAGAGGAGATCGGGACCTTTCCAGGAGTACCCGACACGTGTGTTGGGAGTGGGCAGGGCGCGTGCTCTCAGCACATATGTCTTTTTTTTTAATAGAGCGCAAATGTGCGGCCGCTCGGTGTCTAGGCCCAGGTTCCGGGAGGACGCACATTTGCATTCGGCCGGCGTGAAGACGTTAAACAAACGTTTCCATGGAGTCTTGGGTTGGGCGAAGCCTCCAGCAGCCTTGGGTTCACATTGTACCAGCAACCTGAGGGTGAACAGCCCTTTTAGGATTGGTGCTGGCCATGGTTCTAGACTCCACCCCGGGAACAGAGGAGGTCTCCATCCGAGAGTCACAGCCAGAACGACTGAGCGGCAGGACAGGGAATGGATTCACAAGAGTGAGAATTGTCCGGAGGAGAGACATCCAAGGGCCTAAAGCCTGTGAGGCCGAAGGAAGCCTGGAGGCTGCTATGAAGGGTTTGTTTTGCTGCGGGCCCCTGTGAGGATCATTCTGCGATATCTGGAACTTTCTGCCACAAAGCGGGCAAGAAAATGAGAATGAAGATTATGGTGAGCGGAACGCGTCCTTGGAGGAGCCACATTTGACCGGATTCCCACACAGGATAACTTCGGAGACATGTTCAAGGGAACGTTCTGGATATCGGCCAGCACATCGTCCCACGCCTTCCTCCGATTGGCCCACGTCCAGGCTGTAATGACGATTGGTTAATGATGAATCTGCTGTATGGAAGGAGATCATTTTATGGTTATGGCTCGGTTATCTCCTTACTAGGACGGTTCACACGGGGTTCAGGAACAGTCTAGACGTAGGAGCAAGGACCATCTCTTCACCATTTATTATCTCACAGACAATGTGAACCTTCTGACCCAGAAGTCCCAACCCATAATAATCTCACAAATGCCTGAAACCACCCCCCCCCCCCCCCCACACATACACACCTTCTCCAATCGGTTCTCCAGGTCAAAAACTTCTGACTCCACCGTTTCCATGGCGGCCCTGGAACAAAAAAACCATTACTACAGACATAGAAATGATTGGAGGAATTCCACAAAACAATTCTAATAAGAAAAAGCTATTTGTTCTAATAGTGTACTTACCTCACCATGAAGAATCTGCCATCATCCCAGAACACCAAACAGATCACTGAGGAACCTACTCTGGAACATAAGTGACACCAGATACACCACAGAGGAACCTACTCCAGAACATAAGTGACTGGAACCAGATACACCACAGAGGAACCTACTCGGAATATCAGTGACTCGGGAACCAGATACACCACAGAGGAACCTACTCCGGAACATAAGTGACTGGAACCAGACACACCACAGAGGAACCTACTCCGGAATATCAGTGACTCGGGAACCAGATACACCACAGAGGAACCTACTCCGGAATATCAGTGACTCGGGAACCAGATACACCACAGAGGAACCTACTCTGGAACATAAGTGACTCAGGAACCAGATACACCACAGAGGAACCTACTCCGGAATATCGGTGACTCGGGAACCAGATACACCACAGAGGAACCTACTCCGGAATATCAGTGACTCGGGAACCAGATACACCACAGAGGAACCTACTCCGGAATATCAGTGACTGGAACCAGATACACCACAGAGGAACCTACTCCGGAATATCAGTGACTCAGGAACCAGATACACCACAGAGGAACCTACTCCGGAATATAAGTGACTGGAACCAGATACACCACAGAGGAACCTACTCCGGAATATCAGTGACTCTGGAACCAGATACACCACAGAGGAACCTACTCCGGAATATCAGTGACTCGGGAACCAGATACACCACAGAGGAACCTACTCCGGAACATAAGTGACTGGAACCAGATACACCACAGAGGAACCTACTCCGGAATATCAGTGACTCAGGAACCAGATACACCACAGAGGAACCTACTCCGGAATATCAGTGACTCGGGAACCAGATACATACTCCACAGAGGAACCTACTCTGGAATATAAGTGACTCATCCCAGATACACCACAGAGGAACCTACTCTGGAATATCTGGTTCCCAAGTCACCTACTCCGGAATATCAGTGACTCAAGTCACCAGATACACCACAGTAGGTTCCTAACTCCGGATGTATCTGTGACTGTGGTCACCTATGCTCCAGAGTAGGTTCCTCTGTGGTGATCTGGTTCCTGAGTCACTGATAATCCAGAGTAGGTTCCTCTGTGTGTATCTGGTTCCTGAGTCACTGATATTTCCCAGTAGGTTCCTCTGGTGTATTTGGGTTCTGAGTCACCGATATTCCAGAGTAGGTTCCTCTGTGGTGTATCTGGTTCCTGAGTCACTATTCCACAGAGAAACCTACTCCGGAATATCGGTGACTCAGGAAGTAAATACACCACGGAGGAACCTACTGTGGAATATCAGTGACTCGGGAACCAGATACACCACAGAGGAACCTACTCTGGAACATAATTGACTGGAACCAGCTACAACACAGAGGAACCTACTCCGGAATATCAGTGACTCAGGAACCAGATACACCACAGAGGAACCTACTCTGGAACATAATTGACTGGAACCAGATACACCACAGAGGAACCTACTCCGGAATATCGGTGACTCAGAACCCAAATACACCACAGAGGAAACTACTCCGGAATATCGGTGACTCAGAACCCAAATACACCACAGAGGAAACTACTCGGAATATCGGTGACTCAGAACCCAAATACACCACAGAGGAACCTACTCCGGAATATCAGTGACTCAGGAACCAGATACATAACAGAGGAACCTACTCAGGAATGTCAGTGACTCAGGAACCAGATCCACCATAGAGGATCCGTGACAGACCCAACCATGACCTCATTACGTAATCAGTGTGGGATGTTTATCTCAATGTGTAATATTTGTTTTATTGTTCATGTGAGGACTGCTCCTGTTCTGAGTACATAAAAACTTGTATTTCTGTTCCATAAAGAGTTCCAGTTTTGCACCTAAGCGAGTGTCGTCTAGTTCTTGGGTGCGATGCTCGGCTATATTACCTTGGTCCTGTGTCCCAGCAGTGTGGAAGCAGTTTCTCTGACGGAATCACCCAATCGGGTTGACAGATTCGTCACATTTGCTGGCAGTGGTGGGATTTGCTTTTCCTTTCAGAGCAATCCAAACTACCAGTGGGAATATGGATGAAGGACAGGAAATGGCAGCTGGATTTCAGTGGAGACTGCAGGAAGCTCTGGCCCAGTTTGATGGTCCTGTCTTGGCAGGTGAGCTGGACTGGAAGGATGTGATTTGAAGAGAACAGTGGAACGAGGCTCTAGAGGAGGTTCAGGTTCTCCGGGGAGAATTACTTCCAACCACAGTGCAATGATTTTGTGATCAGCTTGCATTGAGGATACCATTCCTAAGAGAGCATCCTCGGGAGGGATGGCTGACGGAGCTGGAGAGGTTGGTCCAGACGGAATGGTGCTGGATGATGGGTATCGGGCTACCCAAGTGTGTCTGTGGCTGAAGAACAGCGATCCTATAGAAGGCTATGACTTTGGTGGCCCGGGATTGATAGTTGAGACACTTCAGGAGGATCCATATTTTGGTGATGCAGTGGAGTGGAGATGGGACATTCAGGATTTTAGGTAGTTGGAACTTCCCAGTGAGCTCGGATGAACCGTGACTTGGACTTTATAGTAACACAGGAATGGGAGCCGGAACAAACATATAAAAGACTGACGAAGCTCAGCAGTGTTCTCCTGCACCCATGGATGGTATGGATCATCAGTCACCGCCGAAGCACTGGTACTGGGCCCAAGTGCCAACAGCCTGTGCCCTGGATTTTCAGTAATTCCAGAGACTAGGGATTTAATAGACTTTTCTGCTGAGAAGGAACAACCCCGTGAGCCTCCAGCAGAAGATCTGACATCAGGGATGAGCACCACTGACCTCTGCTTACAACAATCAGTGGTCCTGGAGGATTTGTGCAAGACCCCCAAATTTTCATTTTGCTTCCCCACAGAAGAGCTGGCATCAGCGAAGAGCACCACTGACCTCTGCCCAGCACCAACAGCACTTCCAGAGCTCCAGGGAGCAGGGGGGCAGACTGACCATTTGGAAACTCGGGCACTGCCCGAGGGCCCGGGGTCAGTAGGGGGCCCCATGAGATGCCCCTGGTACCTTTTTCATAGGCTTTTTGGAGTTTGGGCAAGGACACAGGGGCACCATGATCCCCTATTGCCCGAGGGCCCCATGAGTTGTCAGTCCGCCCCTGCCAGGGAGCCAAGGTGGGCAGCCCTTCACCACAGCAGCAGGCCGATACAGTGGAACTCCTAACCCCAGCTGAAGCGCTGGAAACAGAGGGTCTACTACCTCTGGTCAACACCTACAGAGACTTGGGAACCTCAGGGAGAAGTCAGAGTTTCTGCTCCCCAGTGCCAGTGTAGGGACTTGGGAGCACAGAAAGTCTACCTCGCTTCACAGCGGGAGTCCAAGAGTCCAGAAGATGGAGCAACCGGCTCATCTCCCCAGGGTCAGTTCCACAGTCCGTGAGAGGAGGTGGTTGTCCTCCCTCCCCAGTGGCAATTCAAGGACCTGGGAGAGGAGGAAGCCGTCCTCACTCACTGGTGGCAGATCCACAGTCTAGAAGAGGAGGTGGTCGTGCACCCTCCCCAGCTGCAGAACCACAGTCTGGGAAAGAAGGTGGTCATCCTCCCACCCCAGCAGCAGATCCACAGTCCAGGACAGGAGGTGGTCATCCTTCCTTCCCAGCAGCAGATCAACAATCTGGGAGTGGAGGAAGTAGCCCTCCCTCCCCAACAGCCAAAGAGGAGGATGCGGGGTCCCCAGCTGAAGAAGTGGCAACAGGGCAGAGTGCCACTGACCTCTGTCCAGCACCTACTGTGTCTTCATGGCTCCAGGGAGTTGGGGCAATTGACCCCTTTCCCCAGCAGCAGACTGAGCCCCAGCTCCTCTTCTAGACTGTGGATCTGCCACCAGTGAGTGAGGATGGCTTCCTCCTCTCCCAGGTCCTTGAACTGCTGCTGGGGAGGGAGGACAACCACCTCCTCTCACGGACTGTGGACCTGCCCCTGGGGAGATGAGCCGGTTGCTCCATCTCCTGGACTCTTGGACTCCCGCTGTGAAGCGAGGAAGACTTTCTGTGCTCCCAAGTCCCTACACTGGTATACGGTAAAGACTTCCCAGCTGAAGCTCTGGCAGACCACACCAAATGATGACAACTCTTCCCTGACGCCCCTCAGAGGACTATATGGATGGATATTTTGGTGTTTATTGGTTAAGGTGCCATCTCAACACTCAGACACGAGGAGTTTTTGCTGTCCTCATAGTTATGGTTTGTCATGTGTCAGTCACCATCCGTGTTCCTCCTTCTACAGCAAGTTGTTCTCACAACCTCCGTCATTAGAAGTATTGGCTGGCAGTGCGGTCTGCGCACAGTTCTATGTGATTATTGCTCACAGCTGGGAGGAACGCCAAACAGGAAACCATGAAATGGGAAATACGAAGTAGAGTTGTGTGTAGTCAGTAGGATAGGTTGTGTGTTCAAAGCTGAAGTACAACGGTGTGACTGATGGGAGGCCAGAACTTAGATTCTCCATAAAAGGCATTGTGGTACCTCATATTTCCTTGGCACTCCAGACCAGTGACTCATACCCTAGAGACTTAGGACCAGTGCCTCATACCCCTCATACCCTAGAGCAGTGATGGCGAACCTTTGTGAGCCCGAGTGCCCAAACTGCAACCCAAAACCAACTTATTTCTTTCAAAGTGCCAACACTGCAATGAAACCTGAATATCGAGCTTTTGGTTTAGAAAAAACAACTCGTACAGAAGTGCAAACTAATTAACAGTACAGGAGATGACCAGAGACTGCAGACACAGTACAGGAGATGACCAGAGACTGCGGACATAGTACAGGGATGACCAGAGACTGCGGACATAGTACAGGAGATGACCAGAGACTGCGGACACAGTACAGGAGATGACCAGAGACTGCGGACACAGTACAGGAGATGACCAGAGACTGCGGACACAGTACAGGAGATGACCAGAGACTGCGGACACAGTACAGGAGATGACCAGAGACTGCGGACACAGTACAGGAGATGACCAGAGACTGCGGACACAGTACAGGAGATGACCAGAGACTGCAGACAGTACAGGGATGACCAGAGACTGCGGACACAGTACAGGAGATGACCAGAGACTGCGGACACAGTACAGGAGATGACCAGAGACTGCGGACACAGTACAGGAGATGACCAGAGACTGCGGACACAGTACAGGAGATGACCAGAGACTGCGGACACAGTACAGGGATGACCAGAGACTGCGGACACAGTACAGGAGATGACCAGAGACTGCGGACACAGTACAGGAGATGACCAGAGACTGCGGACACAGTACAGGAGATGACCAGAGACTGCGGACACAGTACAGGGATGACCAGAGACTGCGGACAGTACAGGAGATGACCAGAGACTGCGGACACAGTACAGGAGATGACCAGAGACTGCGGACACAGTACAGGAGATGACCAGAGACTGCGGACACAGTACAGGAGATGACCAGAGACTGCGGACACAGTACAGGAGATGACCAGAGACTGCGGACACAGTACAGGAGATGACCAGAGACTGCGGACACAGTACAGGGATGACCAGAGACTGCGGACACAGTACAGGAGATGACCAGAGACTGCGGACACAGTACAGGAGATGACCAGAGACTGCGGACACAGTACAGGGATGACCAGAGACTGCGGACAGTACAGGAGATGACCAGAGACTGCGGACAGTACAGGGGATGACCAGAGACTGCGGACAGTACAGGGCATGACCAGAGACTGCGGACAGTACAGGGGATGACCAGAGACTGCGGACAGTACAGGGATGACCAGAGACTGCGGACAGCACAGGGATGACCAGAGACTGCGGACAGCACAGGGATGACCAGAGACTGCGGACACAGTACAGGAGATGACCAGAGACTGCGGACACAGTACAGGGGATGACCAGAGACTGCGGACACAGTACAGGAGATGACCAGAGACTGCGGACACAGTACAGGAGATGATCAGAGACTGCAGACAGTACAGGGATGACCAGAGACTGCGGACAGTACAGATGACTGCTGACCTTTGGGGAGGGGGAGGGGTACCTGAATTTGACAGGTTCCCGCTCTTACTTCCGCAGAGTTTTTTTTTTATCTTACCTGTTCCTTTATCCAGCGGCGCGCTGTCTTCCCGGCTTCTGTAGTGTGGGCGCTCATCGGACAGCCGGATGCCCAGTGCGCATGCGCGAGAAGCGCTGCGCTTTTTGATTGGTCCGGCGGCTTCTGGGATCTGTTATGTGTCCCAGGTACCGCCTTACCATTCACAAAGAGCACTGCTTCTTGCGCATGCGCACTTGGGACCCGGCTGTCACGCACACTACAGAAGCCGGGAAGACAGCGCCGCTGGATAGAGGGACAGGTACGGTCCCACTGCAGAGCTGAGCGGCCGGCCCGGTATTCTGACATGGCGGCGGTGGAAATACCAGACCGGCCGCTCTATATTCGCTCCATAAGACGCACTGACATTTCCCCCCCTTTTTTGGGGGAAAAAAAGTGCGTCTTATGGAGCGAAAAATATGGTATTCTCCTGGCGTGCCCACAGATAAGGCTCGGCGTGCCACGGGTTCGCCATCACTGCCCTAGAGACTTAGGACCAGTGCATTATACTTCCTAGGCAGTCCAGAACATTACCCAATATGTCCTAGGCAGTAGGTAGCCCAGAACAGTGCCTCATACTTCCTAAGCATACCAGACCAGTGCCTTGTAATTCCTAGAGACTTCAGACCAGTGCCTCGTACCTCCTAGTCAGATCAGACCAGCGCCTCACACTTCCTAGAGACTTCACACATGTGTCTCATACTTCCTAGGCAAACCAGACCAGTGTCTTGAAATTCCTAGAGACTTCAGACCAGTGCCTCATACTTCCTAGAGACTTCAGACCAGTGCCTCATACTTCCTAGAGACTTCAGACCAGTGCCTCATACTTCCTAGAGACTTCAGACCAGTGCCTCATACTTCCTAGAGACTTCAGACCAGTGCCTCATACTTCCTAGAGACTTCAGACCAGTGCCCTATACCTTCTAGGCAGTTTGGTCCAGTGCTTTATAATTCACATAGACTTCAGACCAGTGCCTCATACTTCGTAGGCAGACCAGACCAGTGCCTCACACTTCCTAGGTATACCAGATCAATGCCTCATACTTCGTAGAGATGTCAGACCAGTGCCTCAACTTGCTAGGCAGTCCAGACCAGTGCCTTGTAATTCCTAGATACTTCAGACAAGTGCCTTATACGTTCTAGAGACTTCAGACCAGTACCTCATACTTACTAGGCAGAACAGAACAGTGCCTCATGCTTCCTAGGCAGAACAGACCAGTGCCTCATGCTTCCTAGGCAGACCAGACCAGTGCTTGTACTTCCTAGATAGACCAGTGCTTTATACTTGCTAGGCAGAATAGACCAGTGCCTCATACTTCCTAGAGACTTCAGACCAGTGCCTCATTGTGACAAACCGTCCCTTTGTGATCACATTTTGCCCTTTCTGTTCCGGTTTCCTCCCCTTTGTAAAGCTGTTTATGTTTCACAGACATTCTACACTGTTTAGGGAAATGTGACCTTGTAGTCCTTCCCTTCTATAGAGTTCATACTGTATTGGTGGTTGTAGGGTTTGTTGTGGGTGGGGAAAACCCGGTGCCAGGCTGTCTGGTGGGGGTGACGCTGTATATACTGAGCTGTGTTTAATAAAGATTGATTCACTTCACCCTACATGAAGTTCCGACATTCATTCATTCACCCTATAGGAAGTTCCGACTCGTGGTTTGGGATTGGTTTTGAGCTCTAATACCTGCCTTGTGACAGTGCTGGAAGACTTGCCAGAAAAGGGGACCATTGGCTGAGACGCATCACTCCACACGAGGAAGCCCAGGCGGGCTGGTTCCGCAACACTCATACTTTCTAGAGATGTCAGACCAGTGCCACATACTTCCTAGAGCTGTCAGACCAGTGCCTGATACTTCCTAGTAAGACCAGTCTAGTGCCTCATGTTTCCTAGAGATGTCAGACTAGTGCCTCATAATTCCTACGTGGTTCAGTCTGGTGCTTCATAATGCATAGAGACTTCCGACCAGTGCCTCATACTTCCTAGATAGATCAGACCAGTGCCTCATACTTCCTAGACAGACCATACCAGTGCCTCATCCTTCCCAGACAGATCAGACCAGTGCCTCATACTTCCTAGACAGATCAGACCAGTGCTTTGTAATTCCTAGAGACTTCAGACTAGTGCTTCATACTTCCTACGCAGACCAGAGCCTCATACTTACTAGGCAGAACAGACCAGTGCTGTATACTTCCTAGGTGTAATAGACCAGTGCCTCATACTTCCTAGAGACTGTAGACCAGTGCTGTATACTTCTTAGAGACTTCAAACCAGTGCCTCATACTTCCTAGGCAGACCAGACCAGTGCCTCATACTTCCTAGACAGACCAGACCATTACCTCATACTTCCTAGAGACTTCAGACCAGTGCCTCATACTTTGTAGGCAGACCAGACCAGTGCCTCATAATTTGTAGGCAGACCAGACCAGTGCCTCATACTTCCTAGGCAGACCAAATCAGTGCCTCATACTTCCTAGAGCAGGCATGTCCAAAGTCCAGCCCGCGGTCCATTTACGGCCCGAGGGTCGGTTTAATACGGCCCTCCATGTCAGTGTGTCAGTGTGTCTTATGGAGCGAATATGGAGCGGCCGGTCCGGTATTTCCACCGCCGCCGTGTCAGAATACCGGGCCGGCCGCTCAGCTCTGCAGTGGGACCTTACCTGTTCCTCTATCCAGCGGCGCGCTGTCTTCCCGGCTTCTGTAGTGTGGGCACTGGGCATGACAGCCGGGTGCCAAGTGCGCATGCGCAAGAAGCGGTGCTTTTTGTGAATGGTAAGGCGGTACCTGGGACACATGACAGATCCCAGAAGCCGCCGGACCAATCACAAAGCGCAAGTGCTTCTCGCTCATGCGCACTGGGCACCCGGCTGTCATGCCGAGCGCCATTACAGAAGCCGGGAAGACAGCGCGCGGCTGGATCGAGGAACAGGTAAGATCAAAGAACAACTCCGCGGACGTGGGAGCGGGTACCTGTCAAATTCAGGTACCACCTCCCCAAAGGTCAGCAGTCATCTGTACTGTCCGCAGTCTCTGGTCATCCCTGTGCTGTCCGCAGTCTCTGGTCATCTCCTGTACTATGTCCGCAGTCTCTGGTCATCTCCTGTACCGTGTCCGCAGTCTCTGGTCATCTCCTGTACCATGTCCGCAGTCTCTGGTCATCTCCTGTACCGTGTCCGCAGTCTCTGGTCATCTCCTGTACCGTGTCCGCAGTCTCTGGTCATCTTCTGTACTGTGTCTGCAGTCCATTAGTTCAGAATTTTTTTTTTTTCCTGTTTTCTGCCTCTAAAACCTAGGTGCGTCTTATACGGCGAAAAATACGGTAACTTGGCATAAAATAATTTATTTGCATTTAATTGTAATGGTTCAAAGAATGTTTGGAAAAATGTTCGGCCCTCCACCATGTTCACTTCATCCAATCTGGCCCTCTTTTGAAAAAAGTTTGGACACCCCTGTCCTAGAGCCTTCAGACCAGTGCCTCATACATCTTAAGGCAGACCAGACCAGTGCCTCATACATCCTAGGCAGACTAGACCAGTGCCTCATACTTCCTAGGTAGAACAGACCAGTGCCCCATACTCCCTAGAGACTTCAAACCAGTGCCTCATATTTTCTAGGCAGACCAGTGCCTGATACTTCCTAGTAAGACCAGACTAGTACTTCATCAGAGCACTGATGAAGAAGGGACCCCCCTTCGAAAAGATTCAGCGTCATTCTGAGAATTTCCCCTTCAGATGGGATTCGCATGTGTCTCCTTATCATAGGATGCGCTTTTGGATTTTATATGCCGGCTTTATTACTACTCTTGTGAGTATATCTCCTGAATCAATAAATTTACTGTTTACTGAGGTAATCTGCAAGGTTTGTGTGCTCTGTTTTTGTTCTTCACTACAGACCAGTGCCCCATACTTCCTAGGCAGACCAGACCAGTGCCTCATACTTCATAGAGACTTCAGACCAGTGCCTCATACTTCCTAGGCAGAATAGACCAGTGCCTCATACTTCCTAGGCAGAATAGACCAGTGCCTCATACTTCCTAGGCAGAATAGACCAGTGCCTCATACTTCCTAGGCAGACCAGACCAGTGCCTCATACTTTCTAGGCAGACCAGACCAGTGCCTCATACTTCATAGAGACTTCAGACCAGTGCCTCATACTTCCTAGGCAGACCAGACCAGTGTCTCATACTTCCTAGGCAGACCAGACCAGTGTCTCATACTTCCTAGGCAGACAAGACCAGTGTCTCATACTTCCTAAAGACTTCAGACCAGTGCCTCATACTTCCTAAAGACTTCAGACCAGTGCCTCATACTTCCTAGGCAGACCAGAGCCTCATAGTTCCTAGGCAGACCAGAGCCTCATAGTTCCTAGGCAGACCAGACCAGTGCCTCATACGTCATAGAGACGTCAGACCAGTGCCTCATACTTCCTAGGCAGACCAGATCAGTGCCTCATACTTCCTAGGCAGACCAGACCAGTGCCTCATACTTCCTAGAGATGTCAGACCAGTGCCTTATACTTCCTAGGCAGACCAGATCAGTGCCTCATACTTCCTAGGCAGACCAGATCAGTGCCTCATACTTCCTAGGCAGACAAGACCAGTGTCTCATACTTCCTAAAGACTTCAGACCAGTGCCTCATACTTCCTAGGCAGACCAGAGCCTCATAGTTCCTAGGCAGACCAGAGCCTCATAGTTCCTAGGCAGACCAGACCAGTGCCTCATACGTCATAGAGACGTCAGACCAGTGCCTCATACTTCCTAGGCAGACAAGACCAGTGCCTCATACTTCCTAGGCAGACCAGATCAGTGCCTCATACTTCCTAGGCAGACCAGACCAGTGCCTCATACTTCCTAGAGATGTCAGACCAGTGCCTTATACTTCCTAGGCAGACCAGATCAGTGCCTCATACTTCCTAGGCAGACCAGATCAGTGCCTCATACTTCCTAGGCAGACCAGTCTAGTGCCTCATGCTTCCTAAAGATGTCAGACTAGTGCCTCATAATTCCTAAGTGGTTCAGTCCAGTGCTTCATAATGCATAGAGACTACAGACAAGTGCCTCATACTTCCTAGCCAGACCAGTGCCTTATACTGCCTAAAGACTATAGACCAGTGCTGTGTACTTCGTAGAGACTTCAGAACAGTGCCTCATACCTCCTAGGCAGACCAGTGCCTCATACTTTCTGATCTGTTTTAAGTCGAGCTTGTTTGCATGTGGGGTGTGAATGGGAACGACATTACCAGGGGCAGCACAACAAGCAGGATGTCCTACAGATTTGGATGGTAACTTGTTTTCATTCACGCCATGATGAAGGGGAGCATGTTTTCCCATGAATTGCATTGGCTGTTCTATGTGGTCACATGATGAATCATGAAAGCTGATTGGACTCTTCCATCATTTGGTTTGGAGCTCCTTTGTATTTTCACATTTTGGTATCCATCAGGAGATGTGCTGCCCCCTGTAGGGGCCGTTGGTAATAGTTGGCTCCTCCTTAATAGTAAAGAGGCTGCTCACCAGCACCAGTGTATGCAGCCCGGCTCCAATAACTGTCCCGGGGTGTCTTCTAAAATTTATTGCTTGATGAACTTTAACCACATGTCTACCGGGCACTATCACCCCCCTTCCTGCCTACGGGGCACTGTCACCCCCTTCCTGCCCAACGGGGCACTATCACCCCCCTTCCTGCCTACAGGGTACTGTCACCCCCTCCCTGCCCAACGGGGCACTATCACCCCCCCTTCCTGCCTACGGGGCACTTCTACCCCCTTCTTTCCTACCAGACACTTCTACCCCCTTCCTGCCTACGGGACACTACTACCCCCTTCCTGCCTACGGGCACTTCTACCCCCTTCCTGCCTACCGGGCACTTCTACCCCCTTCCTGCCCACAGGACACTTCTACCCCCTTCCTGCCCACAGGACACTTCTACCCCCTTCCTGCCCACAGGACACCTCTACCCCCTTCCTGCCCACCGGGCACTTCTACCCCCTTCCTGCCCACCGGGCACTTCTACCCCCTTCCTGTCCAGGCCAATTTTCAGCTTTCAGCGCTGTCACACTTTGAATGACAATTGCGCGGTCATGCAACACTGCACCCATATGACATTTTTTAGCATTTTTTTGTGACAGATAGAGCTTTATTTTGGTGGTATTTCATCACCTCTGGATTTTTAGTTTTTCTTATAAAATTTTGTAAATAAGTGATTTTCTCTTTCACTGATGTGCGCTAATGAGGCTGCAGTGATGGCCACTGATAAGCGGCACTGACGGGCACTGACAGGCGACACTGATAGGCAGCTCAGATAGCACTGATATGTGGCATTGATGTGGCACTTATGGACACTGACAGGTGGCGCTGCTGGGGCTACACTGATCATCAGGGCACACTGGTCATCAGTGCCCTGATGATCAGTGTACATGTCCCCTCTGAGGAATGCCGATTACCGGCTCTCCACTCCTGTCCTCTGTCAGCGTGACAGCTCGTGAGGAGAGAAATGCCGATAACCGGCATTTCCCTGTTTACATGTGATCAGCTGTGATTGGACACAGCTGATCACATGACCAAGCTGCCATCTTCGGCTCTTTCCATGGATCGGTGATCCGCTGTGTCTGAGGGACACAACGCACCGGAGATTTCCGTGCTGTGAGCTCCCGGAGCCGCGCATGCACGGTGAGAATGGGAGGACATCATATGACTCCTCCCAGAACGAGAGAACCGCCTTGCGCCCGTTATTGGACTATATGGCGGGCGGGAGGCGGTTAAACAGGAGAGGGGTTGGGGCATGGGATACTCCAAAATGCTGCACAGTAATCAGAGGACACACTTCTCTAGGCTCCCATGCATGGGGTCTTCTGGGAACATGGGGGAATGGCCAGTACCTGGAGACCCTGTGGGAGCCATCTCCATCCATAGCTACCACTAGATGGCTCTGTACCAGTCTGGTTACAGCAGTGTCATCAGGTGGTAGGCCCCTTTTAGTAAAAGACCTCCTGCAGTGATGTCATGGGTGGGTCAGTGCCCATATACAGAGGGGAATACACTGATTTGATCCCCGGCAGATGGTGTAGGTTTGCCCACTCACAGAGAAATGAAGGGTCTATAATTGTTATCACAGATGTATTTTACATGACAGAGACAGAATATCAACCAAAAATCCAGAAACAAGACGATACAAATGTTATAAATGGAGTTGCAGTTCAGTGAGCACAATAAGTATTTGATCCCCTACCAGCCAACAATGATTCTGGCTCCCACAGACTGGCTCTGTGCTCATGTGGTACACAGATTAGTCCTGTCAATGGAAGAAGGTTCTCCTAACGACAACTCGTGTATAAAAGACACCCGTCCACAGAATCTCTTTCTTGGGCACCACCATGGGTCCAAGACCAAGGAGCTGTCAAAGGACATCAGGGACAAGAATATAGACCTGCACAAGGCTGGAATGGGCTACAAGACCATCAGCAAGAAGCTTGGTGAGAAGGAGACAACTGTTGGGGCGATTATTCACAAATGGATGAAATATAAAATAACCATCAATCTCCCTACACAGTCTGGAGGTCCAGGCAAGATTTCACCTCATGCAGTCAGGATGGTCATGAGAAAAGTGAGGGATCAGCCCAGAACTACATGGGAGGAGCTTGTGAATGATCTGCAGGCAGTTGCGACCACAGTCACCAACCCAACCATTGGTAACACAATACGCTGCCATGGATTTAAATCCTGCAGTGCCTGCAAGGTCCCCCCTCCTGAAGAAGGCACATGTGCAGGCCAGTCTGAAGTTTGCCAATGAACATCTGACTGATGCCGAGAAAGATTGGGAGAAAGTGCTGTGGTCAGATGAGACCAAAAATGAGCGCTTTGGCATTAACATGACTTGCCGTGTTTGGAAGAAGAAAAATGCTGACTATGACCCTAAGAACACCATCCCTGCAGTGCAGCACACAGGTGGAAACATTATGTTTTGGGGCGGTTTCTCTGCTAAAAGGTACAGGCCGACTTTGCTGCATTAAGGGGCCA